TAGATTATTCTAATACGAGATCTAATAGGTAGTATTAGTTTTATAGGATAGTATCTTAGTACTTTGGATTAAGCTAATTAGAATACTCAGATCCCAAACGAAATTGCAATTACTAGCTAGCCCCTATATCTGGGGTATAATTACTCTTTCTTCTCGCTTATTTAGCCCCGATCTAATTAGATGATTTTTATATCTATTATCCAGATTATATTAGTAAAACTATCTCCCAAGATACTGGAAGTTTATATTAATTAAATAAATAATTAATTAAATATTTACTAGGATAGATTAATGGATCTTAGGAACAAGATCCTAGGAAGGGAGTATAGTTATAATATATATAGGATTATATATAACTTAAAGGCATATAACGAATCTCGGATATTACAGGTATTAATCAGGGAGTTCGGTAGCCTTTTAATATCCCAACTAACTACTATTTATATTATATATATGCCATCGGGGCCTCCTATTTAGAGGGGGCTTTCCTGGACCTTATAGGAGGGATAGAGATTAGTTCTATACTGAATTTAATACTGTGGTTTTATAATATACTAATTCATTCTATTATCTTATTACCTACTAACAAATACCTTATAGTCTCCTAATCTATAGTATTAATACCTACTAATTGCTCCCTATACTTCCAGATATCCCTGGCTATATCCTTAAAATAGGAAGTATAATATATGACCTTTACTATATTAGTAGCCCAGGTAATCCCGCTATCTTTATACTACTTTAACTCTGCCTAATAAAAGAAGTCCTGGGCTTCTTTAATATTCTTTCCCCAGTAAGTAGGCAGTTCTCGGGTTTTTGGAGCCCTCCGAACCAAGGGTACCGCCGGGAGTATAACGGGTTCTATACCGGATATCCGAATGTTTTTAAGATAACGGATCTGAGCTTCTAGCTCCTCTAGATCTTCTCTCTATTATATCTCTGTTTCTAACTCAGTAATATAACGGCGAGCCACCGCCAATTTCTCTATTATTATTATCCTATCTACTAGTTCTGGGGGCATCTGAGTTCTATTTCCTTCTCCTGATTAGGTAGTATGAAGAGTACTTGACTAGGCGCTCCCCTGGGTGCCCGGTTAGGCTACTATAGTAGTAGTAGAGGCGCTTTTCCTGGTTAATACTCCAGCTATTAATATTTTATCTATTAATAGCTTGACTACCTCGTAATGAACTGCTCCCTGAAGATTAGATTAATTAGAATGTGAGGTACGTAATAGCAGGGTAATATATAAATAGTCAAGGTAAATAAGCTATAGAGTGACGCTTGCAAGTATAACTAATTCCAAGAATTAATTCTAATAAAAGACTAATTAATACCCCTTTCCAAAGCTAGGAGCATCTCCCTATATGTTCCCTAGTGCTTAGCCAAGCCTGCAAAGCACTTTACTTAACTAGGAAATATGATCCCATATAATCCGTATAATTCCGATTACTCGTATAATTCCGATTATAAGCTTTACCTAAAATAGGAAACTAGATCTACGATATCTAATACCTGTCTATACGCTATTACGTGTGCCCATTACAGCTTACTAAGGTTCTAATTCTTTATAATATATTTATATTCTTAAAATCCTAAAGAAATTATAATATTTATAAATATAAACTTTATTTAATTATTAAATTTTATAGGAAATATAATTATATATTCCGGAATATATTCGAGAATATAGTATTTATAAACTATAAATTATTAGTATATTTTTTAAGATTATTATATTTAGACGGAATTTATATTTAATAAATATATAATCTTTAGAATCTTAATTTTAATATTATATAAATTTCTGGGAAATATAATCTAGTAGCTAATACTTTATCTAGAACTATTTTCCCGGATCTTAATAAGAATTTTCTTAATCTTTTCGAGTTTAGTAATCTTATAATTATAAATAGGAAATTAAAATAAATTTAGAAAAATAGAAAAAATAATTATAAGGAACTTTTAAGAAAGATTAGGGAACTTTTTTAGAAATAAGATCTTTAGGTATTATTTCTTAAAGAAAATATAAAAGAACTCGAAAAGATATAAAAATCTTTTATAAGAGATAGGAATTCTTTAATTCCTATAATAAGCTTATAAAAATTCATAAAAATAAATCTAGAAATTAATTCGAAATCCTTTTATATAATTTATATAATTACTTTTTATATAAGAGGAAATAATAGTAATCTTAATTTTTTTTCCAGAAAAAACTTCTTATATTTATAAATAGTTTATAAAATTAGTATAATACTATTTCTAGTTAATATTAGATAAAGATTTAATATAATATAAAAGATATAAAATATAAAAAGGATTTCTATATTTTAATTATTAGAAGAAATAGAAATACTATATTATAAAAAACGAAATATTATTAATTCTTATTTAAATATATAATAATAATAGATATTTTATTTTAGGAATTATATTTTATTATTTAAAGCCTTATCTCTGGCCCTATATAGTAAAAGATATTAAGAATTATATTTTGAGATATCTGAAATATACTAAATATAAAATAATAATTAGAATATAAACTTTAATTCGAGTTATAATTATAGCCCTAATAAAACTACTAGAGTTTAATTTTATTAGCCTATTTCTAGAAGCTAATAGAGAATTATAATATATTTTATTAATAATTAATTACTTTTTCTAATATATTTAAAGAGATCTTTATAATAGTCCGAATTCTATTATTATTAAAAGATTTCTACTAAAGATCTTTAGAATATTTAGCTAACTAGTTAGAATCTATACTAATCCTAAAATATATTTCGGAAATTATATAAGGATATTTATAGTTTCTTATAAAATTACCTAATATACTTCTTTTATTATAATAAAGAAAATAACTAGAATAGCTAAGAAAGCAAATAATATTATTTAATATATTATTAAGAAGTATTTCCGGAATTTAGGAAAATATAAAGCCTTTTTAGAAAAGATATTCTTTAAGATAAACTAATAAGAAATTATTTATCTAGATTATATTCTATTTAAAATCTTTATAGGATTTGTTTTAGAAAGAGATATTAAAATAATATTTCTCTTTTATAAGTATAAAAGCCTAGTATTCTATTTTAGTAAAGAATTAAATAAACTATTCCCTAATAATAACCTTTATACTAATTTTATTATTAATTTTATCTTAAACCGAGAAAGAATTTAATAAGATATCCAGAAGTAATCTAATTTCTAGAAAAATTAGAATAAGAAATAATATAATTTCGGTATATATTTTTATTAGAATCTTATTTCCGATTAAATAGTTATACTTTAGGATAAGAAATTAGTAAGAAAGAAGCTTAGGCTAGCTTAGAGAGATTCTTTTATAATTACTAGCTATAGAGGAAATATAAGGAGATTATATATAATTTATTAGATTAATAATATACTAATTTCTTAATATTATTATAGTAATTATTTAAAACCTTTCCGACTTTAGAAAGAATATCTGGTATCTTATTAAAAAAAGGCATTTCTGGTTTTCTAGAATATTTATTTCAGAAAAGCTATATTTAAACTTCTAAAGTCTATTTATATAATTCCCGGTATATACTAAATATAATTTCATAGTACGAATTATAGATTCTAGAATATTAAAAGAATATAATATATAATTATAGGGAAATAGGGTTTCTAAATAGGTATTCTTCTTGGGATTCTGGTATTAGAATAGGAGAATTTATATACTAGAGTTTGGCTTGGCTAGTTTCGTTTACTAAATATAATATAGAAAGAAAGTTTCCGGATAGAAATAAAGAAAGATTCTTTTAGTATTACTATATATTCTAGCTTTCGTATAGGGAGATTCGGGGATCCCAGGATATCTTCGCCGGGGCTCGATCCTATGAGAGGGAGTCGTAGAAGAAGCGAAATTAGAAGTAGTCTTAGTGATGCGTGGTTGCCTTATCAGGCCTCAGAGTCTATATAGCTAGTTCTTCTCACAGGACTCAATCCACACCCTTATATCCCCTCCTGATTCCATCGATTTTCTGTCACCCTGTTGTGCGGGGCCTCTTCTTGCTCCACGAAGACAACGGCATAAAGTATCAGGAATACAGGGCATTGGGAGACTTTTAGGCTCTCTAGCGTACAGATTAAGGTAGTGAACTTGCTATAAGGCCCTATATTTCCAGGCCCTTCCCCTAACAGCAGCATTTACGCCTTTAATAAGGGCTACCACACCTTTTCAGTGTACTTACAAGGGAGTCTTTGCTAAGGAGGCCTATAATAGTTGCTTGTTTAGCGTCCGAGCACTGTAGTTACTCTACTAATAGTGCTATAACCCTAGAAGATCTACTTATCCTATGCGAATGTCTTATAGTGCCTCTTTACATTTAGAGAGCACTACCTAGAGTTATAGGGGCTTATAGCGAGCTTCTGCCCTAAATTCGCACCTTGCAGAGCACCGAGGGTCAAAATGCCCTGTATTCCTGGTACTTTATGCCGTTGTCTTCGTATTGGGAATCTGTTACAATTTCTATGTGGTCTATATTTAGAATTTTGCAGATTCTTATTGCTTGTAACACAGCCACTCCTTTGAGCCTATTCAGATATCGTGATGGTATTTATTTTTGGGTGAAGAGCACCAGCAATCTAGGCTTGTTGTTCTGCATAAATTTTCTTTCCTTACATCATCATTATGACTTACATCTAAAAGAGATGAAGCAAAGCCGGTCTTGGCAATTTCCAAACTCTCCTCTGAGATATGTGTTGCGATACGACTCGGCCATGTATCGATGATTTGTATCTAAATGCAGGTGGTTGATGGGTGCCTGTTATTGTAGTGTCTATGATATGGTCTAAGAATTTAGTATGGGAGTCCCTCATTAACCTGCGATGAGCTAAGCTCTTTCGAAACGCAAGATGGCTCCAAATTGGATTCGAATGGTACGGTTTAGCTGAGAGATTCGAGGTGTCAAGAGTTATCAAGTCTGGGCCCCCGTTTCACATAAGCCACACCAAATCAAGGGCTCGTTGTTTTCAGTATTGCCATTGTTCATTGCTCATCACTCGTCACTCGTAATACATCCGCAAGCTGAACCATCTCCCAGTACGAAACAGAGAAATTGTTGCCACACGGAAGTTCGCCAGGTCCATCACCACCATCAAAGACATGAAGTATCACTGCCGGAGAAACCCATTGTGCCACAGAGAAAGAAAAGAGACAGTTCATCAGCCGAAGTGGCCATGCCAGTCGCCTTTGCCATGGAAGCACATTGGAAGCATCCGTCGCTTTACCAGCCTCCGCTATTTGCTGCTCCAGAGTTCCAAGCCTGGTTGCCACCACCGTTGTCACCACCAGTTCCAGTGTCCTAATCACCACCACCGACGGTGTTCTCGCCGCTGCCGAAGTTGTTACCTCCGCCGCCGCCGTAGTTGTCACCTCCACCGTAGTTATCGCCTGCACCGAAGCCACTATCACCGGATTGGTTGAAACCGCCATCGCGAGGAGGACGCGGAGCGTTGGCCTGAATTAATTCCCAGGTTAGTGTCAAATTTTTGAGATTGAATCAAACGCAAGAAGCCATACCCATTCGTCGACCACAGCCTGGATCAAGTCTCTAGCGGTCTTGATTGCACGGCCCTTGCCGATGATGGTGAGGTGGACCGGGTCACGAGCCTTGGGACGAGGGCCGTCTTCGTTCTTGGCCGGCATCTTGATATCGGTGACACCACTGGTCTTTCTAATCTCTTGAATCTTGGCGCCCTTGAGACCGATGATCTTTCCAGTGGAACCACAGTAAACCTCCATTTGTTCCTCGCGCTCCACTTGCGACTCATTATCATCACCCTTGTCATCGGTGGCTACTTCTGGCTCAGGTTCAGGGATAAAGACGCCATTCTTCTCGAATCGGTTGTACGCAGTAGCACGGAGGGCATTGACGATGTACTAAAAGGGATCAGCTTCATGAACAACCTGGCTTTTGCTCCTGGTAGATTGTGGGATGGGTTAATCAAAGGTGCAGACAGATACAGGATATTAAGGGGAGAGCCAAAGGAGCAATTGGACAACAGACCTTCCAGCGAGGGGCCCAGTAGTTGCTCATCAACTTGTCATTCTTGAGAGTGAACATGTCTGCCTTGGCGTCGGCGTTCCAGGCGGCATCAGTAGAGACAACACCATTCTCGCCATACTCAGCACTCAAATCATCGGAGGCGAACTTGACCATTGCAAAGCAAGCCTTGAATTCACCACCCTCACGTGGAGGCCAGTAAACACAAACATCGAGATCGACACCACCGTAGTTGACTCGGTGGTAAGTCTCGATGTTTGTGTTGTCCTTCTCGGTCAATGCGGGGATCTTGCGCTCAGTGCCATGGTGCAACTCCTGGTGGATGAAGTTGAGAATGAGTACCTTGTTCTTGCCGGCCTGTTTGAGAGACATCATCAGCTCCGTTTGCTCGAATGTGAACGCGTGACACCGCCGTTGTGCATTGGAAGCTGCGACGCGCCAGCCAATCGTAGCCACGGCATGGAAAAGAAAGCGACGAGGAGAAGGAGGAAGAGTACATACTTGGGTAGCATCATCATCTGCCTTGAAGAAGAGCTCTTCATCAGTGTGGGGAGACTCATCGAACTCCTTAGGAGTGTTGGGGTTACCATCCATGCCAGCTAGAACCTCGTAGGTGGTGATGACTGTTGCTCTGGCTTTTGCCTTGTTGATCTTCTTGTTACCTGCCATGGTGACCGACGTTTCAATGCCCAACGTGGTGGTGTTGGAGAAGTTGAAGGAGGGAAAAGGTTGAAGACGAGACGAGAAAGCGATCTCAAGTAGACTCTCACACACAAGGCTGCGAGGCTGCTTTTACCGGCCACACACTAGCCGACTCGCCGAAGCAGCCAAAATACAGGCTTCGTGTTCTCACTAAAGGTAAGAGGAACTGAATATTCCGAGAATAAATAAAATCAATGCAAACGCATGAGAATGCAGGGAGCCGTCATCCTTGTCATGGATTCGAGCCTTCACCTTGAGAACACTTCACTACCAGCACCACAATCCTCCACGATATGTGCTTTTAAAGATTTCTAACCTCAGGGAATCACCACATACAGAACCATGTATTGAGTAGCCGTCTACCATTAGCAGCCTGCTAGATTTTCGCTGGGAATTTTGATGCCCCTTTAGCCCTCCAAATTTGTAACGATCAGCATGACTTCACAACCAGCAGTAACCCAACGGATCCCAGGAATCGAGACACTAATTACTAGGCAGACGCTGGTCCAGTGCTCAAGCAACTTTACCAGATATCTCGTTTGGTTCCTCTCCGAAAAAGCGGTTCTTTGCTCTCGAAATGACCTTTTGCGGATGTGTTTGACATTTCTTCCACATTGCTTCGAGTGCAGCAAGCCACCAAAGAAAGGATTTCTTCTACACTCCAATCGAGCCTTATCGAAACAGGGAAACGAGTAAAGAATTCTGCTCTCGGCGGGTAGGAGAATGTTCCAACTAGGGTAGGCAAAGAACAGGGGTATCCGACTAGACTAGATTCGGAAAGGACAAAACGCGAGCATGAAAGTCCAGGTAATAACTAAAAGAACTTGAGTGGGAAGTAAAGAAAGTACAGAAAATCTTCTACGGCCTCACACTTGAGGAACAGAGTCATGAAACCAAGCCACAAAATAGAAAAATATTGTCCCGGCCCCGGCCAGCCCTACCGGCAAAAAGTGCCGCCTTGCCCCTGAGAGCTTAGCGAGACACATCCTTTTCTCCTTCTCCGTCGCCTTTACGCCCTTAAGACCTTCTTTATACCTTCAGCGGCGTTCAACGGTCCAATAATAATGACCCTCCTTTCTCAGTTCCGCAAAGCAACGGAAGCTTACGGGCAAGCCAGTCACAAACCCCTGTTGCGACGCGGAGTAAGCTGAGGCACGCTGCTTACATCACCCCACTCATAATAAGCCAGCCGGCCGATTTTCTTATATAACCCTGGACTATTTCCCCTTCTCCGCTAGCTGCATCGTACCCCAGGCGTCTGAAGCCTTGCCATCATTTCAGCTAAGCTCCCAGCCGCCACACAAATAACACCTCGCGGCGTTTTTCAATGCGGTGTTATCAGGAGATGCTTGTTTGAACACAGGGTCAAATGAGCCCTATACGTCCGTAGAGGCGAGATAACTAGCTGAACTTGGGGTTCAGCACGTGAATGTTGTTCAGCACGCCACCTTGCTGTCAGCAGGCCTCCTACAATCATAGGGCTGATCAGCCCCTTGGACAACCCTCGGCATAAGCCTCATTGACCAGCATGAGAGTGCACATATATTCCTCTTCTACACCCTCCAACTTCCCCATACATCCCTCGTAGGCACATCACTTCCTCCAAGTTCCACCGCCGAACTCAATCCTATCAATCAATCAATCATATCATATCATATCATATCACATCATCAGATGCCCAACCGCTACCTCGCAACCCTCACCTCGCTCAGAGTCCACACAGCCCTCATGTGCTTCCCAAGAATCCCAAACCCAATTGAAGACGTCTACTGGTCCATCTGCAAGTTCTTGGAGCTCATTGAACCAAAGTCAACGCCAAAATGGCCGAAGAATGTGCAAGAGTCAAAGATACAGAAGGAGATTTCGAGCTCACGCACGTCGAGGTGCTCAATCGAGAAAGAAAGGGGTCGAAATTGAGGGGTAGCCAAAATTTGGTGAAGATGTTGTCACGGAGTTCGGCAGAATTGTATGCTTGCGGGAGGCGCTTGGTTTTCTGGTTCAAAGTTAGCCCGTCGCAGAACTGTAAGTGGGTTTCCAGCAGCATCGCCCATAGCGCTCTGACACATCGGGTACAGATTGGGTTCCTGAGTTTTTCTTTTGGTAGTTGTGGACGGAACAGAAACATGGCGTTTTGGTTTAGAGTTATATTGCGTTGATGATTTGACAAATATGGCTAAGGGTCGACGGCATCTCTTTTGATGAAGCTGGGAGCTCGTTCTTGCTACCACTTTTCTCTCGTTAGCGACGTTGTATGGATTTCAAGGAAGGTCTATTGGATGGAGTTGGCGACATCGATAAAATTTTCCGTGGGAAGGCTGAAGTCATCCCGCAGGCCCTTTAATTCAGATATTCTTGCACTTACTTGTATGAAATCCAGTTCTTTCCGCTTTGAAAACCTCTCTCTCCGTTGGTGACATATAATTGCTCTTGTGAATGCATCTGAGCGAGTGTGACATTGGGGGTCCCAGTGGCACAACGGCGCCTGAACAGACTTCGCTTAACGGCCAAGCTTCACCTCAGACACTTCAAAAGATCAGATCCAGATGACAGTTTGACAGCTCACTGAAGCCCATCCAGCGCAGATCTAGCTTTCCTGGAAGAATTCTCGGTGGAGGACTCCATCTCTCTCACTTTTGTGCCCGAGTCTCCAACACCGCAAACATCAAAGCTTTCCCTGAATTCCTTTCATTCTAATTGAATTCAAGCTTTGAGAACGAATTAAAATCCTCTTCCAAGATATCTGTTATTTTTGGATCAGATATTTTATTCAGACTCCATGAATCCGCCGCAGAGGAAGCGAAACTGCTCAAATGTCAAATCTTCTCGGTGGGTGAGCCACTTCCGTGACCGCTGTCTGGAATCGATCTTCGATGCTTATTTCTAGTCTACCAGGCCACCTCCTCAGATCGCCTTTAATAAGAGATCAAAAAGACAAGCTGAAAGCACATCGCAACCGCACTGGCGGAAGAACCAAAGGATGCTTAAGGAAAACGAACCACTGCCTTGCAGCACACGAAGTCGCGAAGTTAATCCGGAGGGGGGTTGAACAAAAGTACTTACAGCAAGGTACGCAATAAACAGAATGCACGCAACGGCAAGGGAAGGGAATTTTTCAGATGGATCTCGTTGATCATTTTTTATTCAGTTTTCGCAGACTATGTATAAGTCCAAGCTTCCTCGAAAGACTGACTTCATTCAACACAGCCTCGCGAACAAATCCTCATGACTGTCTCGCAGATTGTGTATTATAAGCCCCGACTCCCAAAAGAACTGGCCCTTATGACAGCCTTCCATGATGACGCACCATTCCCTCCCGTATCAAAGCAACTCAACTCGGGTATCATCGCGTCATCCATGAAACAAGATCAAGATGAGGGAAACAAACGAGACACCAAGCTGGAGGTGGAGGATTGGGAACACATTAAGTGAGGAAATCACAGAGTGTAGATGAAATCGGGTCGCTTGTCGCCCAACTTCTCTGCCTCGCGATGAGACATGCCTCGGGTCCAGTGGTCTCGCTGGCCGGTCAAGCGCTTCTTGTTCTCTCTCACAAGTAAGGTACGCATAGCTATGCTACCACCAAGAAGACAGACGATCATGTAAATCATGACAGTTGAGTGGCCTGCGGTAAACTTGGGGCCGGTGCGGTAGATGTTAGAGGAGACGATACCGTTGAGGTTGCCCCAGCCGATGACGAAACCCAAGACGACGCCGCGCTTGTACACACCCTCGATGTTGTTGCTGACCCAGGAGATGGTGTTGGAGATACAGGGGTAGATACCCAGGGCGCCGAGGAAGGTGCCTGCGTACTTGATATGGGGCTTCTCGCTGCCGAGGAGGATGGCGAAACCGGCGATGCCGATGAGGGAAACGAAGATGTTGCAGAGACCGCGTTGGCGGGTGCGATCAGCGATGTAGCCGACGGTGATGGTCAGGACTGCTGCACAAGCGTACGGAGGAACGGTGAGAAGCTGTGCCTTGGTGGCCGTGTAACCCATCTGAGAGATGATAGTGGGGAGGAATAGGGAGAAGGCGTAGAGTGGCATGTCGCAACCCATGTAGATCATCATGCCCAACCACATCTTGTAATCCTTAAGAGCGGAAGTTACATATTGCATCTTAAACTCTTCATGTTCGGCTGAAGACTGTTGATCCATCTTCAGACGTCGGATGACGCGAGCACGGTCTACTTCAGAGAGGAAGGTTGCCTTGTCAGGGAAGTTCTGGACGGCCCAGAAGGAAGCGAGGCCGAAGAGGACAGTGAGAATACCCTCAAGGATAAAAATCCATGCCCAGCCCGGACGTCCACCAAGGCCAACCATCTTCTCAATTGCAGCTGCAAGGAGACCACCAAAGGAGCCAGAGACTGCGGCTGCGCTAAAGAAGATGGCAGCACGGATGCCGAACTCGGAGCGACGGTACCAGCAAGAGAGGTAGTAATTCACTCCTGGAAAGAGGCCGGCTTCGGCAAGACCAAGGAACCACTGTCTGTGTCAGTTTTGTAATCAAAAAGAAAGGAGGGAGAAACTGACGCGAGCAGCCATCAGGCCAGACCAGTTGTAGCTAAAGCCCATCAAAGTCATGATAAGACCCCAGAGGACCCTGTCTCTTGTCAGCAGCTGAAAGTGAATAGTGGAACAAAGGCGAATACATGATGATCGGGATGAAAAGCTTTGGAGTAAGGCGCTTGAGCAGGACATTGGTGAGAGGTTCGAAGAGGGAGTATGAAACAAAGAAGATGGAGAGAGCAGCATTGTAAGCGCCGGCCGAGAGAGGATGGCCAGTAGAACCGAGAGACTGCTGGAGACCGACGATCTTGGCATTACCAATGTTTGTCCGGTCCAAGAACGAGAGGAGGTACAAAACACAAAGCTGAGCGGTCAGTTGGGCTCGAGATAGATCGCTAGAAGGGAGCTTACCCAAGGGATCAACGCGAGGTCTAGCTTCCAGAGAAGTCGACGGTCCTGTGTCGCGTGTCAGTGGTTTCAAAGAATCAAGGACTTTGGGAGCTTACAATGGTTGCTCGCTCGCCAGCGCTCAAGTGAGCATCTGGGTCCGGAGGTAGATCGGCCACCAATGGGCTGATGCCCGCCTCCAGTTGATCCCGCTCCAGGCCCTTGATCTTGTCGTTTGTAGCAGAGTTGCTGCTCCGCCCACTGTCGCGACGTGGATACTCCTTCAGTTCCGACATCGTTGCGTTGCTACGTGGTGTTGCAAGGTGCAAGTTTGTGGTACGTTGAAGGACGAGGTTGTGCAAGAAAGGAAAAGGAAGTGGGAAGCCGAGATGTAATAAGCAAGCTCCAGTGTGTCTAGCTCGTTAAAGGACGGAAAAAGGTTGAGCCCGCGGAATGATACATCCTCCGGCCGGCGTTATTCCGCTTTGGGGTGGTTAGTGACACCTTTGATGCCAAAGCGGCGATGCTATTGGGAAGTGAGCCATGATCGACATGCGTGACGTCCGGATACCAGCTTCGACCCCGCACCATGGCTCGGCCGGACGGTGCCAATTGATAGCGGAGAGCCTGTCATTCTGACAAAGCCACGAGGGTTCCCAGTACTCGGGAGTGAAGCATGGCAGTGACATTTGTTCTTTGTGAAACTTGTCAAGTTGTGGGAATCGAGTGCAACTGTTGTGGTGCTCGTCAAAATAACGTTTTCGTTGGCGTGAGGGAGGCGTTTTTGGAGAAAAACTGTCTCACCCCACCCGACAACGCCAAGCCGGGGAGGCTGGGGTAAGTGCAGGGGGTAGGGTCGGCCATAAACTTACTCCCTAGCGGCTGTTGTGGCAATGCTTGACAAAAGATAGGCAAATGCTACTGGCGCTGGAGAGGTGCGACCCATGTTGGAGATATACTATATTATGTAAACCAAGTCACACTGCCGCTTTTCAACTTCATGCCAACTATTTGTCGTTGTGTCTCATTTAATCCGGAGTTCAAGGAAGAGCCTACAGAGGAATCGCCCCGCGGCATTGGTAACAAGGTCAGGGTTCTCTGAGACCCCAGGGATGCTCGTTTCCATCGCTTTGCTCGGTGCCTTGCTTGTATCTTTAGAGTTAGTCTTCCATTGTATAATCGAGAAAAATCACGTGGTAACTTTCAAGCCCCAAGACTTGAAGTTTGTTGCACGTCGATTTCGGCGTAAAGTTGGCGTAAAGTTGGATTAAATTCGGAGACTCGGGGTAAAGTCGGGGTAAAATCGTCGTGGTTGCTGACCAGCTTTTGTCTTGCTTTCCAGACTCTGTAGCAGTATATCTTCAGATCTGAGGTGCTTTTCACTGGTGCTTTTCACTGGTGCTTATATTCGCGGTATTCTTGAGAATCCTGGGCCAATTCTCTGAATGTCTTAGAAATGGTGTATGATCTAGAAGATGAAGGTTGTACATGTAGCTCTCAAGCGCTGTAAGTCCCCCATTCTCTCTCCCTCCAAAGAAGAAAATCCATACAGAATCCGTAAAAAAGAGGATCTATCACATGCCAACTCGAATGGCTTTTTGTTGCATATCGGCATCCACAGGAGTGGTAGTGACAGCTTGGCCAGCCTCGCTAGTTTCGCTAGCTGCTCTCGAAAATGGCCATCTCAGTTGCCCTGCGCCTTTGTTGCACATCAGCAGTGGCAGTGGCAGTGTGGCAGGACTGGCTAAGCCAGCGTCGCTAGAGTCGCCACTCTCGCCAACTCTTCCAGGTTCAGAAAAGGGGGCGTTCCACGTGATCGCTTCGCCAAGCAGGTGTGCCCTTAACAATCTAACTCACCAAAATAATCCCACCCCCAACATCCCCAACATCAGCACTACGAAGTACATGGCAAAGATCGACAACAATATCAGCCCTACCGCTGATAAATCCGTACTCATTTTCTAGCAGCGCGTGCTCTAGCTGCTGGCATCAGCTACGACATCTCAGCCGCTTGGTATACCCTCAATGCTCTCACCATCGTCCAGGGCTTGAATCTGGCTTCTCTCTCCCGGATGTTGTCGAGGGCGAGCAGATACAAGATGGCGAAGAGCGTGTGCATAATCGGTACATCCCCATGCAAAGTTTGATACATATGAAGCTGACGCTTTCCAGGCGCCGGGCCCTCCGGCCTCGTAGCCGCGAAAACCTTGACGCACAACGTACTGAAGGACACCTTTCACGTGACCGTCTTCGAAGCCTCGCATCGTATCGGAGGTCTCTGGCCTATCTCAAAGGTTGATGACGGAATGGTGAATCCGGATATGTGCGTCAATCAAAGTAGACATACAGTGAGTTTCAGTGATTTTGCGTGGGAGGAGGGGAAGGCGAGTTTTCCGAAGGCGTGGGAGGTGGGGGAGTACCTGGAGAGGTATCGGGAGAGGTATGGAGTGAGCATTAGGTTGAAGACACGGGTCGTGGGAACGGAGATAGAGGAGGAGAGGTGGAAGGTGAGAGTCAGGGAGGACGAGGAGTATGAGAAAGTATGTGCTGCTGCATTTCCTGTTCACTTGTCACTTGATCTCCAAGATCTTGCTGACGCCAACATCAGACCTACGATTTTGATCACTTGATCATCGCTACAGGTTTCTTCGGGAAACCCAAGATCCCTAAAATCTTCGACGGCCTCAATGTTCCGATCTGGCACAGTTCCAAGGTTCGGGATGTCAAAGGTCTCCTGACCGAGGGAGGTAGCAAGCCCCCGGCCCCTGGGAAGAACATCGTCGTTGTTGGAGGTCAGATGTCTGGAGTTGAAACAGCTGGGTCACTTGCTTTTGAGATATCTTCAGTTGCCAATACCCCAGGAATACCTGCTTTCCCTGACCCAGAGAAGTATATCGTTTGCAATGTTGTGCAGAAGCCTGTCTGGGTTATGCCACTTTTCTTTCCCAAAAACCCAGATGTCGAAGTCTCTGAAGGGGATGCGATTACGAAGGTACAGTTTGGAGACCCGCAGCTCTGAACTCCCGAACTGATATTACCGTAGAAAAAGAACCCCTCCCCCACAATTTTGCCCCTAGACCTTGTCAACTACAATCTCTCTTGGCGACCACCAGGCCCCATTCAGAACACATCAGGCCACGTCAGCCCGGAGGGCGCTCAAATGGTCCACGGCTTCATGGAAACATATATTGGAACCGACCAAGCAGACCTAGGTGCAGACCTATCAATGACGGGAGACATCCGCTCAGAACCGCCATTACTTGCATGCAGCGACCATTACACCGAGTTCGTCCGGCACAAGAAGATCCAAACCATCAGCGGGAGAGTCAGCCGAGCTTCTTCACCAAATTCAATCAAGATTTCAGACAGCTCCGGAAACCTCTCACAGATCTCAGACATAGCAGCAATCGTCTGCGCAACTGGCTTTGATGCTTCCGCCTCCCTTTCGTTCCTCCCATCAGACATCCTGGAAACATTGCAATTCTCACACACAAGCGACGAATTCCCACTTGCTCTCAACATCCACTCCACAATCTCCCGCAAAGTCCCATCATTAGGATTCGTAGGTTTCTATCGCAGCCCCTACTGGGGCGTCATGGAAATGCAAGCCCGTTTCCTCTCCGCCCTCTGGTCCGGTGATGCGAAAGCCGCCAAGGCGCTCGAGGATGACATAACCATTGATTCCATGCTGAAACTGAGGACTGATCCAAGAAGAGCCCAGTTTCCGATGGGCGATTACGCTTACCTCATGGAATCTTTCGCCTCCATGCTCTCCATCAGTCGCCAAGAACCCCCAAGCACCTCCCCAGACGTGAAAACGGGAATCGTTCTACCTCCAAGATATTTACCTGATTCCGCCTCTCTCGAACAGAAGAATGAGGCCAAGACTGCACTCGAGATCATTGATCGCATTTTCTCGGACTCCGCAAACCAAGGCAAGTTCGTAGCGCGTGCTGTTTTCAGAGCGCTGCAAGGGTTTTGGCACTTGGAGAGGAAGATCAGTTCAAGACTGGATACGTTTCCGAGTGGGAGTTTGAGTGGGAAGGCGAGCTTTCTGCCGCGATATCCGACCAAGAAAGATGCTGAAATGGAATATCTTTATTTTGAGGAGGGTGAATTCAGGCCGAGTTGGGGCGGGACGATGTCTGCGAAAAGAAGGTGAGTTTGTTTTTCGTACCGATAAAAAGGGAGGAGCTGAGACGTCACAGTTATGTATACCATTACAGCGAATCAACAGACAAAATCGACGTCTGGTTCGCGAAGCCGGACTATAAAACGTCTGACTACTTTTTCCACGAGCTAGAGTTCCTTATTTCGGAGAAAGAGGGAGAGCTGCAGCCATGGAGGGCGAAGTCGAGTCACTTGTGTAAGTCCAGTGAAGTTGAGAGGGAGAATGGAGAGAGATATGCTAACGATGGAATAGGTATCGAAGATTTGTATAATGTTACTTATGAGTTCAGCTTCTCAGGCACAACGCTCGCGAAGTGGACGAGTAGGTACGAAGTCAAAGGGCCGAAGAAAGATTATGTCATTGAGAATGTGTATACGAGACCCGTATAGAAGCTAGGCTAGAATAGAGCTAGATGCCAATCGAGATCTGTGTTTTGGCCATCTCTTGTTTTCAGTAATTTGCAGGACACGGCCGAATGGCTCGGATCAAAAGGTTAGTTCTCTTAAAGTTCTCTGACTACGTGTGAAGGGATGCATTGCGAAAGCCCAGATATCACAAAGCACGTTTGACAAGGGCATCTCTCACGGACCACAGAGATCAACACATGGACAACCCTAATGTCCTAAAGTACTGCATCTATTGATACACAACTCTCCGATCTCGACATTCCGAGAGCAACGTTCTAATCCAAGGGTTCAGTCTGGAGTACCGACGCAACGGTTCAATTGTTTCAACTTGAGGGTGGCACTCTAGATAAATGCTGTCTCGGGCAAGCGCCAGCATGGGTATTCTTCGCCGGCCAACCTGGTCTGGTCCAGGCTCGGCAAAAATACCAGAAATTTTAGTATCGATACCTTATCGCTAAATTTGGGCGAAAATTTAGGGGCCTCTAGCCTATAAATTTAGCGATAAACTGCCTAAAATTTAGGGACTGCACGCTAAACAATTAGCGATAAGCTTATCGGGATTGCAAAACTCGAAAAGTCACTATTTTAATACATTTTAATATTTTAATTAAAGACTTAGTTATTTTACATATTTATTTAAACCAAATTATTAGCATTCTTAATGCTTACAAATCTTTAATTTTTAAGTTATATAATATGATAGTAAATAAGAATAATTAAATAACAATTAAAATATGGGGCAAGTATCGATACTATCGATACTGGTATTTTTGCCGAGCCTGGTCTGGTCTTCCCTTGTTTCCAACAAACCACAGAAAGAACGCCGCCCGCAGATTGATAATAAGAACTCTGCTTTCCACTTGATGACTGTAATGCGTTTGTCAACATCTGCGTAAAATTGCACCGAACCTCGACCCTCGACCCTCGACGAGCGGCTCACTATCGAGGAACCCATTCATCTAAGCAGCGTACTCTGGACATTTTCAACATTCAGCACAATTCAACCTACCTTTCATTTACTGTTTTACGCACCCAGGCTGTATAATCTCAGTGTCTTGGGGCTTTGTTCCTGAGCTTCGTCAGGAACCAAGTGCATCACTTGAAGTGCACCATTTTTGACATCAAAATTTCACAACAATAGCGATGTATCGAAGGTGACTATCTCGTGATGGCTTTGGGCACCCGTTGTATATTCGCGCATTCCTAAACTCTTTTCTCTCCAAAATACTTCACCTCCCTTGCATTCCCTAGTTCTCAGCCGTTGCTACCCTATCTCAAAACCCCCGGGTAAGTCTCAACTTCTCGGAGCACTAACTCCGCTTATCGCAGTGTCCAACAGCCCTTGAAAATTCTATTCCCGAAAATACCTGGAGGAATTACGCTGACTCCAATTTCTTAGTAATAGAAATCCACTCTTTCCAAGTAACGCATCATATGTCACCGATGGGGCCAGGCGACTAAGCGTCGAGACTAGTTTTGAATGGAAATTTTATTGCTGAGGAGTATAGTACGCGTAAGGTTACCTTTGTCGAAGATTGATTCGTTGCTATAGCTGGCTGTGGCGAAAGAGCAAAGCAGCTGACGGGACAGAGAGGAAATGGCAACAATCTACAGAACGCGAAAGTGATCTTGCCTATTTCGCTGGATGCTTCGGAGGACCCGGAAATCTCATGATACAGAATCTCTGCTGGTATCGAACACCCGATGTGAACCTTTCTCGTTGCCTGTCACCGAATGGCTACTTGGTTATGGATTCAACTGGCGATCCGATTTGTTTCCTCGATTCTTTGGTGTAGACGAACTACAACGTCGCAGAAGTTGTGGATTATTCAATAACCTCGAAGCTGCACAACGATCCTTTTGGCAACACCAGAGACTTGGCAAAACGACATGGACGCAGATCAAGCCGACCGCCAGAAATTGAGTCGCATTTCCATCCATGAAAAGTTCGGTCCTGGCTGCAGAAGCAAGTATCTTTACGTTTTCGGCTGGGCAGATCCATCGAACAAGAAATGGGTTATATGTTGTCGTGGTCTGATAGTGGAAAAGTTCGAAAAAGGCCACCTTCATCGCATGGGGTTCCTCTCTGTTGAGATTGGAAAACGCCTTGATTGGTTGAGCAAAAAGAGAGTAACGCGTTACAGGGTATTGGTATACTTCATTTGATTCAATTCTTAGAGTGGAAAGCTCTCTTGGTAGACCCCGGATTTGATGCTTTTGTTTTGGCAACTCTTGCTTTCGTACAATGATCAGGGAAGCCATTACCCAAAAAATCAGGATGTATATTTCCCGCTCAAGCCCATTTACTCCTACTCAAGAAGAGCATCAGTCCGACGTCTCGAGCTCCAACGTCCCCCATAGTGCCCCAGACGTTGCTGAAACGACCGCAATTTGTGGAACCACCCACTCAAGATGCTTGCTCGCAACATTTCTCAATGTATCCTGATACCCTCTCATAAGTTCGTCTGCCATCTCATCCTCATCCCGAGGCATAATCGTCAACTTCTTCAACCCCGTGAAAAGACGAATCTCATTCCAACAAAATGCCCTCCTCCCATAAACACTCTCATCAATATCGGTGATCATGTACTTCACCTTCTCCGCATCGTCCGCTCCACAAGGGTCCCCGCCAAGAAAGACATCAAGCAAGTAATCAATCGGTCCACTCTGCAACATCTCCGGCACGGTCATATAAGCATCTCTGTGACTATTCCCAAACCGCAAAGTGTCTTTGGAAAAATCAAAATAAATTCTTCCAGGGTGGAGATATGATCCAAATGCAAGCTGGTAAGATTTCAAAGCTTCAGTCCGGGACTCTCGACATATGTGCAGGACGATGGGAATTGGATCAGGACTTCGCCAGTCGGCGGCTGCCAAAAATCCCTTCCCGGTTGAATAGCATGAGAGGCCCTTGTATTTGATGGACACGGTTCGAGGGCCGGGTGCGATAAAGGACCAGATCTTGAGACGGAGTTCGAGGGGGAGTTCCCGAAAGAGAGTGAAGCCTGGTGGTGAGGATTCCATGATTATTCTTCAATTCAACCGAACATTTAGGTCAGGGGAACTCGGGCCTGATAGGTTTTGAGCTCGATGCATATATTTGTAGGCCGTTCGAGCGGCGTAATGGAGAGAGGATGAAGGCTGCAGCCTCTACAGACAGGGCGGTGACCTAATTTGGTCAGCACGTGATGGCAAATGATCGCCCGCTGAATTTCGTGTTTCACGAACTCCAACGCGTCTTTCTTCCCTTCATCCAACCAACAATTTCTCGAACACTTCTACACCTCGACAGTAGGTTCTCAATTTGTTTTGGATGAATTGCTTCCGCTAACGTCCTGCTGAGCAGGGCTCTTAACGCACTGGCGATCCTCAGAATCAGAAGAGTTTGCCAGACGCGGTTGCCGACCATGTCTGACAATCCCCGAACACTCAACTCCTTTACGCTCTTTCCCAATCTTCCATTCGAGCTTCGCTGCCTCATATGGGAAACGAGTTGCGAATCGCGAACCGTCGAAATAAGTTACGATTCAGACGACGGATTCTTATCAAATGTTAGTCCGCCAACTGCCCTCGAAGTCTGCCAGGAATCCCGCAATCACCTCCTCAACAACTATCCCCTCTGCTTTGGCTCAATATATCACCCTGCGAAGATAAGATTCAACTTTTCCATCGATACCCTCTACATGGACAGTAGTTTGGAAGAGGACATGGCGCATGTGTTCAGCACATTCAGAGACCGGGAGATATCCGGCTTGAAATACCTGGCTCTGGACACGTACTATGGCAATGCTCCCACTGACGATGATTTCGACCCTTTCGAGGGCGTGCAGCGCGCAGTGAAGAGTCTTACTGGACTTCGGGAGATGCTCATTGTCTTCCATGTGGACAACTTGTCACCGCGGATAATTAGCTGCGGAGGAGACCACAACCTGAGTTTGTTCGATAAATTGCCGTCAGATCTCGCAGATTCCAAGTTTGATCTCCCCTCACTGTCGGTTCTATCGCTTAAGGACTTCGAGGATTGGGAATTGCAGGTGCCATTCCGCCCGATTTACGGCTGGAGAAGATGCCCGGACAATGATGATATCATGGCAAGCCCGCGAGCATTTTTTGGAGGCGATTTTGACAGCGACGATGACAGCGATAGGGAGTGGGGTGGCATACCTTTCCCCATTGCACTTGGAATGGGAATGTTCGATCCGGACGACGAGGATAGCGACATGGACGACGGTGAGGACGACGACGAGGAAGAAGACGAAACGACCGATGACGAGATGCCCGATCTAGGGAGTGACTCCGATGATGAGATGCCTGGTCTAGGTAGTGTCTCTGAGAGTGAAGAGGGCAGGTCGGAAGCTGCAAGCCTTGACTGAAAGGTTTCTGAATTGTTACTTGGATTGTAGCTAGCAACACAGAGGGCTATCGACCACAAAGCCTACGTTCGCATCATTTGCCGGCCGGCATCAGGATTATAACTACTATCTATTAGGAAAGGACCTTCTTTGTGATCGTCAAGCAGGTCTTATCGCGTGTTCACGACTAGGTGTCCATTTGAAACTTTTCAAGTTCTTCTGAAGCCTCAGTAGGATGATAAGTATCACGTGAGTTTCTTCAAGCATCCATTTTCTTGTGACACAGTTGTCATGCCGCTTTCATACTCGCTGACAGTCTGTCTACCTCAGCTCCTGTGTTGGCCTATGGAGAATTTATGATTGACTGCGTGGGCCTGCAACCGGACTGCAAGCCCCGTGTCATATTGACGCCCCTCAGGTGATGCGGATTTCGCTTCACTCTGTTTGAGCACGCGATGGGCGTTTGAGGGCTTTGAGGACGAAGAATAGTAATTAACGATTTTCTAACTTGGCGAGCACTGGCCTCCTCGTTGTTTTGCTTAATGGAGAATTTCTGACGCTTTTCTTGGTTTAGGTCTGGTTCAGGAGGAAAATGTTCTTCCTGAGGTTGTAGCAGATGATGACTCTTGATTTCTACGTAGAGTTTTGTGGCCTTGGATTAGTGTTTAGGCAGCCATAATCATTTGGATTTTTGTTTCATTTTAATTTCAATGCTTCTATTTGTGGAAATCGGAACTTGCCGAAACAGGGTCTCCAAGTGAAACCCTTACTCAAGACCGATCCCTGAAGAACGGGACAAGGGCCCAACATCCCGCCTCCCCTTCTCGCCTATCTTCTCGACGACAATCCGTCGGACCTGTTCTGCCTCGTACCGAGATCTCAAAGTGGATTAGCATCTATGAGTTTGTTCTTGGCTTTGGTTTGGGCTTACTTGCGTGTTTACTTGTCTCCATGGATTTGCTGCTCCAACAGGTTCAATTGCTGCTCTAGGCTAAGCACGTGGCCGTTCCCCGAGCAAAGACCTCCCCCACTCAATCTATCCCCAGGACTTGATGTTGAGTAGATGAAACGACCTAACATGCTGAAGGCAGTTTGGTCACTGCACAATAGCATCTTGGATTTGGGCTGCTCTCCCGATTTCGCTGATGCTCCAAGGGTACGTTTGTTGCTGAGGATTGATTGTCAGAATTTGCCACGACCCAGCTTAATGCAAGTGCATACCTTGAAGACTTTCCTAACTTCTTAGACATGGTGCGCTTCAGATGACTTTGAAGATTGTCCTTGAAGTGGTACTCCCTCAAGAAGATCAGCAGTTGGCTTGGTGGCTTTTCGTTTGGTATTTAAGGTCTGAACTTCCTCCCTGTCCGCACGTTTGACGGAAAACGAAAGGGCATTTTGGGAGCTACGCAGTTGCTCACAAGCTCATACCGAAAGACCAGAGCATGTCACGATCCTTCCGGACTGTGATGGAGCGCTCTCGATCATCGTTGCTCGACGGTCCTTCGGCGTTTCTTGCTGACAATCCAAAGACGCGCGGGCTGAACAAATCATCAGTTCGATCCGTGGCCCCATATTTTCTGCGCATCCCACGCTTTCTCGCGGGCTGTTTGAGCCGCAAAGTGCTATTTTGTCGGGGCAACCTCTATTATTCTTTATTGTTCGTGAATCTTGAAATGGCGGTCAGAGCGTTGTTGACAGTGTGAAACGCCACTCACCACGCACTTGTGCCATGGTGAAATGCGAAAATCCAATGGGAGTTGATTGCATCGATTGAGGCTGAATTGCAGCACAAAATTGGGCATTGATAATGCACTCCCAGCACCCTTGATTTTAGCGTCTCAGCCACCTTGATATTCGGCGTGCCGTTGCGACAGTGCTTGGGCTCCAAGAGCCAGGGACAGTTCCTTATCAGCAGCAAAGCATGAAGGCACCTTTGGGCATCAATGACGTTACATTTCAAAGCACTTGCTCTGAACGTGCGGGGTTGCCCTTTGGGGGTGGGGGTGGCTGCGTATTCATGCAAGCCATCGGGGCTGACCCGGAGGCACCCCAGGCCCGCGATCTTTCATCGCAGTTGCTCTGAAGTTCAATTTGCCACATGCGAATCTCCGGTTGGGGCTCAAAATCCCATCTAAATTAATCGCTGTCGTGTTCGGGTCGTCGGGTCAACATGCTGCTAACAGACTTGAGTTAAAACATTTTCTGCAAGGTGCCGTCAGGATTTCGACTCGAGGACAGACTTGGACCAGACAAACCTTCAAGATAAAGGCATTTGTACATATGGATGCATGTATCCGCCACGATCTCGTGGAATTCCCGGAAAGTTTCGTACGTGTGGCTTGCCTTCGGGAGTGGAAACACTCACCTACTTTGTGCACTCGCTAACCAAACATACTTTACAGGAGGACCGTGCCGTTTCAATGTTGACCAAAAACACGCGGCGCATTGAAGCTGGTGACCTTCCTGATGATGTGCAAGTCTTCAACTACAACCCACGCACGGGCGAAGATGGTCAATTTAGACTGTTTAACTACCAACACTCGCCCCGTGGAATTCCCTCAGAAACCCCACGGAGAGGACAAGACGCAGGTGAGCTTAGACATTCTTTTGACAAACTCCCACCTTTTCCATCCTTTCCATCCTTCAAGCACCCCCCGTGGCCAGATGACCCCTTCCCATATACGTACGCATTCAAAAAGGCAATCTGCTGACATCTCGATACCGTAGATTTGATGCTTAAGTTTCAAGGCTTGATATTGGTGGACTCTGATGAAGAGTACGAACCGGACAATTATACATTCTCTCCAAATGCCTCCACGCTGTGGAACAGTACGGAGCAGGCCAATCTTCCAGCAGCATCAAATAGGGTAGCCAGGCATTGCTGCACTGAACCCGAATATGATTGTCAAGCTTCGGGCAGCCGTGGCAGGGAATTACCGAATCCACCTCCAGCCGACGATACCGTACCTGCGTATCCTAAAGCCATTTTGAGCAGTTACGCGCCGTCGCCGTCGCAGAACAAGCGAAACAATGAATATAATGCAAAGGCTCCCAAAGATAATCGAAACACTTTCCAAAGGCTGAAATACAAGATCCTCGATACTGGGCCGGACATGTTGTGCAATGAGCCTCCTCCGATGCTCGTTCCAGCCTCGTCATCGGAGTATCACCAACAATACGACATGCACCTTCAAGGGACTGGTGGGCCGTTGGACGATGGCTCTGACGGGCAGATTATCACCGCGGAGAAGCTCCTAGATGGGGAAAAATCCAACTTACTTGATCCGGCTGAAATTTCTGAGAACAAGCCTACGGAGAAGCCGAATTGTCCAAAGTTTCCGCTATCAGTCGATCGTTCTCGAGCCGCAATGAAATGTCGCCCGGTGGGCCCGGTGTCGATCGATCTTCCAGCAGTCTACACAAACGACGAAAAATCGGCTAATCGCAATTTGGAGCTTGGTAACCTTCAACACGAACAGAAGTATTTGCTTGACCAGGTCATAGACGGAGCACCGTCCGGCTTCGGTTTTGAGAAAGCCAGTAAATCTGAAGAGGAAAAAATCACGGTCAGGCTAGGCGGTCCTGACCTTCAATTGACAACCACCATTCAAGTTTCGACTCCAGTCATCGAACTGCCCTCCGCGAAATTGCAGTCTAAACCCGATACAGCAGCCAGCCTTGGTTCCGATTCCATGGCTCACGCCATTTTTGGCACAGGTTCCTGGATCGAAGAAGATGCTCATAATCTTCTCATCAACCTAGACGTCGAAGGGCTATGTGAAGTCTATGCGATTGGTAATGATTTGGGAAGACTGGAAGACCAATTCGATCCTGGATCGCAAGCGAACTTCAGAGCCTGTCCTGCAAATTCATCTCCAGGCTCAACCGCACAGAAGAATGCAGGTGGAAATTCCTCGGAATCTGGATCGCGTGGAACTCGTCAGTCGCCGCCGAATGGTGGTGGCAGACATCGCAAACATGCCTCAGAGGGGGGCGATGGTGAAGGAGAAGAGGATGACCCGAGTCAATACAAAAAGGCAAAGACGGTCAATGGGACCAACAGGCGATTTGTATGCCCATTTTACGTCCATGACCCCGCATATTTCAAGACGAGCGAAGAGCACGGGCAAAAATATACTCTCTGCGCAGCTGGACAGGGATTTGCAGATATTGCCCGTGTCAAGTAAGTGGACCTCTCTGTGTTCGTTGTAAATGGACACTACTCTAATGCATCTCGTCAGAGAACATCTGAGAAGAACCCATTCCCCAAAGATTTCCTGCCCTAGATGCGGGTTAGCGTTCAAGAAGCAATATGACCTAGAGGTGCATCTAAATCTCAGAAATGAGAAAGGCCCCGAATGCCCCGTCCTCGATCTGCCCGCATCGAGATCCATGACGCCTGATATGGTAGCACAATTGGCAGAGAGAGGGAAACGCGAAACGAATATTTCTGAAGAGGAGAAGTGGTACAAAATCTATCAGATACTGTTCCCGAACGACCTTCCCCCCACCACCGGAGCATGTATGTCCTTCTCCTGTGCTATAATTGTTGTCCAGGATACTCACACATTCCTCTTTTCATCCTAGATCGGCAGGGGTTTGACCAGCCGCCCACACCATCTCAAGAAAAGCATATCCCCATCCATATCTGCGAGAACGACTTGCCTCGCCTATTTGAGCGAAGACTCGATACGCGATTGAGCGATATGATACCCGACCTAGAGTCCAGAGAGCGAATGAAGAATATGATGATCTCCGAACTTGTCCTCTGCATCAAAGAGCTCTCGGTAGAGCCTTCGGAAACGCCGAGCTCTTTCGATGGATCCCAAGTGCTCAGACACAAACCATCCGAGGCATCATCCATAGATTCTGGTTATGGATCGAAATGTGGGATTATCGACTGTACGGGCAATTGCAACGTATGTGAGCAATTGGCCTCTCCTATGTCCCAGCAGTCGCAGGGGTATTTCCAGCATGTCAATTCCCCTCTTTTCGAAGCCCCGGATCAGTATCTCAGCCCGTCCATGTTCGCAAACCCCGAGCCGACTGGACATCTGCAATCGACAGAGAAGATGGACGAGCTACTTGAACACAATTTTCCTGACCCATACTTGGGAAACCCTTACCTTGATGGCTCTGGTACTTGAAGTTGCACAGCACATGCTCTGGCTGGCTCAGAGGATGGGGACATTGACAAAAAATAAAGAGACGGCTGGAGTCACTAGACAGCAGAAATTTATTTCTTTCGCCTTTCGGTGGGCTTCCCGAAGCAGGGAAAGGGCTCTCAGTGACGGAATATGTCGTCTCTGCTTGGTACATACGCTAAAACCGGAATTCAGATTCCATATCCCGTGCAATTTGCCAAGTGGCACGCAGTTCAACAAGGCCCAAAATAATAACACGAGCAAGAAGCCTCCGCTTACTTGAATGTTCACTTAACCGCGGTCCGCAGGAAGCGATTTGATTTTCACATCCCGCAAGAACTTCCGATCTGATGTTTTCTCGTCTTCACTCAGATGAAACAAATTCTTCAAGCTTTGCACGTCAATGACAGAACTTTGTTCGTAACTCCCCAACAGGCGGACAAGGGTATCCAAGTATGAGCACCTCCACGCAGTATGCTGCGCTGCCAATATCTTGAAAATCGCGCTGACTCACATCTCTCCATTCGGAGGAACGATCTCAGCAATCTGTTACTTCAAGCCACAAAGCGTCTCTGTCTCTACCGTTTCCCTCGCAGTCATTACCTATGTGTTCGGTGAGCTCATGGCCTTCATCATTCCCGGGAAAGGAATAATTGGTCGACGGCTAATCCCCACCCATTCAATGTGAAGGGACATCTTGCCATTGTTATCATGGCGAACTCTGCTTCTATATCCGCCGCCGGCATCGAAGGTTTGGCCGTGGAGCGACTATACTATGGCGCTGTCCCTTGATCAATTGCCTTTTCGGACGTGACATAGACCACCCGTCCGTTGACCAAATAGATATTACGTTCCTGAAGAAATCCGTTCCGGAATCTGATTGGCGTGATCTCTTCGCCGCGAGCTGGTGGACTGGGGGTCATATGTGCCAATACAAACAGTAGTTCTTTAAACCGTTTTTCCAACTGCGCATATTTACGGATCCTGGTCATTCGCCATATGCTCTTCTTCCGATCTCATAACTGCTGGTTCCTGGGAGCTTTCGACATTTGATCCATCATCAACACCCTCCTATCCTTCATTTCATTAGCTTCATCCGTCACCCATGAAGGATCTCGGTTAAGTGGCATAGAAGAGCGCTTGGGAAACAGACTTGCTGGTACGCTTGGTAGTGGAGTATACGGAAGTCCGGCAAATACTCGATTAAGCGAGAGAAGATAGGAAAGTTAAGGTCTGACGGTATAACCGCTAGTAGCGCAAGTAGATCTTGATATACTACTATCTTAGCTATATGCCAAGCGCCTTTCTTGCCCTCTCTAAAGAGATACAGAATAGCTACCGCGACGCGCGATACGCGACGTACAGACGTACTATATACGTGATTAATCAAGGGGTCATTACTCTGCGTGATATCACGAAGCGAGAAAAGGTAGCTACGTACCCTTACCTAGAAAGCCTCAAAGTGAACTAGCGGACGGTATTGAAAGGAGAAGGCGTCGACTCCAGCCATACCGTATCACAACCTGCGGTCTAGTTTCCAGCTCAATTCCCTGGTCGGATTCCCGGCCACATATCAGGCCGGCGGAATACCGGTGACTACGCAGTATGGATTTCCTGGCCACCCGAGCTCACCGAGATGGTGGTAGTCCGGCGGGATACCGCTGTGAAACCGGGTCCGGGGAAAGAAAGGAACTTCTTACTTGAAGCCTGAAGCCTTGAACCCTCGGATAAGATCAGTTCGACCAAATATGAACCATCTCTTAAGCTCAACTATTGTGCTCGCGCGCTTATTGCAGTTAGGTGATGGATATTTCTGTGTCAGGACAATCTAGCTTCCACAAGGGCCCCAAAAGCCAATTTGCAATTCCAACACGGCGGAAGTTCTCCCCACTGTCTCCCACCGGACACAGGACTAGCCCATGCGTCTCAGCAATCCGTAAGCAAAAGACGCTGGTGTTAGACCAGTCCATTTCATCCCTTATGTCAAACCAGCAAGACGCGCAGCGGCTGTGCGAGTCCTCTTCTTCTGCGGAATCCGAAGATAAGGGAAAACATGCCGGATATGTCTTTGAGTTGGTGTTCCGGCATGTCACTAAGGCGAGTGGCCCCCGAATCCTCAGTAAACCTCCAACCACTTCCCCAAAAGGATCTTCTGCTCCTAGCACTACATTCGCCTCCACCAGCAACGCCAAGGGGTCCCAATCGAAGCGAGTTTCTCGTGTGAACATTACAGGACCATCTAAGGAGGCCCAGGACCATGAAGGAGCACGATAACTCGTTGAGCGTGATATCCTGGGCAGGCTCGTCTCAACTTGAACATCAACCCGCCAAAGCAAGTCAGTGAGCAACGTCCGCCTCCACAGACCAGCCAGATACTGTTCGGTTGATTCATTTGCAAACTTCCGTGCAAGTCCAGAAATTGCGACTAACTTGTCTCTACTTTGCGACAAATTTCGACGAGAATAATTTGCCACAACATCGTTCCAATTCCGTGTTGACAGTTTCGGATTGATACGAAGGTCGTATTTCGGCGAAATTTCGGGCTGCTGTCCCTGCTCTATTATCGTTGTCTCTTCGCACCGCCAGGCCATCATTCTTGACCCACACATCAACACACGAGGCGAAAGTGCAAGCTCCTGAAGGCACCAAGCACGAGTGTCCACTGCTTCCGGAGACCAGAATGGAATCGCTTCGACGTACTCTGAAACATATACGCCGGATAATATTTGAATTGCTGGCATTGGAGGTCGTTCAAGAAAACACCCTCCATAGCTGTCTCGAGCGCCCGCCGCGCAAATGGTGAGAGAAGAATAAGTATATACTTGACCCATCTTACTTGATTCTGTTTGCCAGTCCTTGGGACAGTCTTGTATAATGCACAAAGAGTCAATCCACAGGTACTCAATCCCAAGGTGCCGCGTTATTTCTATCGCCTCTCGAAAGGTTTTCGGCAGAGCTGAAACTGAAATACTGCTCATTCTCTCCGGAAGTGTTTCTTTAGTTGTAATAGTAGGTTTGGAATTGCCCCAACAATGCGAAAGAGTGGTGTACTTGATGCTATTCAGCTTCAACAACCTTCCTGTTTCAACCAGCCTCGCTTCCTTACACCCGCTTGCGTTCCCAACATATATCAGTCTTTTAGGCCAAAGCCTGGTGAGCTGTTTACTGAGGCCGTGTGGAACTTTTGACTTGGCTGATGGTTCGATTGGAGGACCTGTTGCTGGTTTGGTGGCAAATGAGCTCTTCCGAGTCGCCGCTTTGAGCTTACTTCTCAAATTTTTGATAATTGAGCTTGTTGCAACAAGCGTCGACTGCGTAATAGCGGCAGGGATAGTAACAATAGGTGGCCTGGGGAACTGAGTGTTACTGCAGGCAACATTATGATGCTTCACGCAGTTGTTGAACCAGGTGCTAATCATATCGAAACCCTCCTCTGAATCAGCTTTTGAGAGTATCTTCCTACCCATTATATTTGACTCCGCTTGAATGGTAAGCAGACATTTTGTTGAAATATATTGGAAGATAAATCAAATTAGCAGCTTACCCGACTTAGAATAGAGGGCGACAGAGCCCAGATACCGTGGTAATGACTTGCCCATAGAGCATTCCAGAAAGATTCTACTGAGATCCATATCCGCCCTCAGAAGTACCTGCTGGGGTCGCTCAGATGAACATGATCGATAAAGCCAATCTTGTGAGTGAGCCGATTTCTCTGCTTCTCTTTCAACCGCCTGCCATAGCAGAGTGCACAGTGGGCAGCCTTCATTGGCAGATGTCCTGAGCGTGGCGAGGCTGGGCGCATGACAGTAGGCCAAAAGGTGGAGAGATGATTCAAGTGAATCCACAAGGCGCCGACAACGGCCACATGAACCCGCGACTTCAACCATTCTTGCGTTGAAACGAAGCGTAAGCTTGGATTTATCATCAAGAATTATCGTCCATGATGCGTCAAACTTGTCAACGTCGCTGCCAAGGTGAAGACTAGCGCAGAAGGATTCACGCGGGGAGTCTTGAAACATAGCCACTCGCGAGATTGCACTGTTCCCCCCGGTACGTCAATACGAGCTGTTGATCAATCGGACCTAAGCGAGGAGCCCGTTTGCTTGATCGTCTACTTAAGCGAACTCCGATTCATAAATATGAAGTCGGATACAAGCGAATTTTTAAAATATTGTGGTATTTTCAAAATAATAAATTATTAAAATTCTATTAGTAGGATTTATTAGAAATAGTTTAGTTAATTATATTATTAGATGATCTTAGCTAAAACCTTTTATTATAACTCTAAATAATTTTAATTATAAAATAGTGTTGCATGGCAACTGCGTGCTAGTGGTCACGTGCAGGCTCACGTGACTACATTCCTGTATTTAAGCTTTGGCCACTCATGCCACACCTCTCTTTCCTCTTCATCAATCTATATATTATTATTACAATACAATAACAATGTTTTATTATAACAAATAGTTTCTTTGTTAAATATATAATTATATAAATCTTTTTGTCTTTAATAGATTTTAATCTAAGAAAAATTTATTTAAGTTTCTCGTAAGTATTAATATTTTTATTTAATTAAATTTTGGCTTTTATTCTTTATTAGAAAGTTATATATTGTTTTAAAATTAGGCTTTTTAATTAGCGAATCAGGCTCCTCGCTTAGGTCCAATTGATTAACGGCTCGTATTGATGTACCAGGGGAACAGATAAATATACCAGAACCTATTCTACATTGGCATTATCTGGAACTCAGTTGTACGCCGAGTAGTGGTAGCCGTTCTTGCAGATTAACCAAAAGTTTTACTGATATCAAGAACTGGAATTCTTCAAGACATCACTTCTGGGGGCATTTATTCCCCAAAATTCTGTTTCTGATTATGAAAGGAGTTGCTCTCTTTGCGCTCTCACTTCCCAAGTAAACTCATAAAAAAAACTACTTATCGCCATTGACAACGGCCAACATAAATCCATCAAACATCTCATCCACCTTCGTTTTATGACTAGAAACCGTCGACACAAGCGTAGCAGTAACGCTTTCCTCCCTCCCCACCTTCGTAACCAAACTCTCACTCTCTCCCACATTCTCATGCTCCAACAACTCCCTCACCACATTATCGACATAAATGCACCCATTCAACCTCGTCAACTTGACCGCCCACTGGAAATACTCCCACTGCTCCTCCCAATCTGCATCAATAAACACTAGATCAAACTTCCTTCCCTCCCTTGCCAACTTCGGCAAAACATCTAGTGCGGCACCCAGAATGATTTCCACATCAAGGCCCTTGGTGTTCTCTAGTGCGACAGAGCGGTGCTTGGTGTTAATCTCGATGCTGGTTACTCTGGCGCCGGTGCTGGCGAACCAGATTGTGGAATAACCTCCTAGGGTCCCAATCTCGAGCACGGATTTGGCGCCGATGAGCTGGCATTGAATGGCTAGGTATTGGCCTTGCAGGGCGGATATAGTGATTGGCGGCAGGCCATTCGCAATGGAGTTGGAGAGTGCGTGGTCGAGTTGGGGATTGGGTTTGAGGAGGCTGGATTGCGCCTGTGCGTCGATTTTGCCTGCTTTACGGAGGTGGCCGGTTGCGGGGGAGGCCATTTTGGTGGTGCTGGTGTTGGGAGTGAGGCTGTTGATAATGTTTATAGGAGTGACACCGAGTGTGGGAACGGGCGTTGGCCTTCGGTTAGGGGAGAAAAATCGAGGTACAAAGATAGACTTCCTAGGAATTTGGGAATGATCTGATAAGAAGATCTGATAACCCATGCTCTAAGGGATGGTCAATTTATAATACCAGCCGTGGATGACAGTGAGTGGGCTTATTCCGAAGTACGGAGTTCACAATCTCTAGATATCAATCTTGAACCCTCTAGATTGACGAATACGTTGAATGTGCCGCCTGCGCTGCCCGCGTCGCCCTTTACCGACTACCTCAATGAGCGACTTTCCTGGATTTAAGAATGTTCATTGGCCTCAATGTGTTACCAAACAAGGACAACGACTCGGTCTTCTCCTTAATTCCGCGAAGCGATATGCTCAACCTGTATTTGCTCGGCCGAGAGACCATGGGCAATTCCTAGCGGGGTGGAGTATTTGGGAGTCAGCACGGAGTTTATAACCTAAACACCATCCGTCTTACCGCTAAGTACGGAGTTCGAGTTAAGCGAGCGAATAGGGGTGTTTGTCACGTGCTCCTCAGCAATCGCTTCCAACGCATTTGGAGTGGACTCGATTAGGAAGATATGAAATTGGGAATAACCTCATGGCAAAAGTCGCCTGAAGTAGGGAGACAATGTGGCATGACACGTCAGAACGGTAGTGACACTTGGCAGTATATAATGTACAAATACAATGGGAACAATTCCCCCACGCCACTCCTCAACGCCACAACACCTGCACCCCACCACCTCAAAAATACCCACTTTACACCTTCAACCCAATGCAGGGTTCGAAGCGCAATAATCAAAGTTCCCCGTCTGGAAATTATTCCCCCAATACGGAGGGAACGGAACCGCCTTTCCACTTGCACCCTGCACTGCAAAAGTCGTAACAAAGATATTGAAAAGTAATCGATTTATTGATGGAAAATCGATATATTGGAGTTTGACAATCTGTAGAATGACTAGATACAGGAGAGTAAAGAGTAAAAAAAAAGGAGAGGAAGGAATCTAAAGTACAGTTCTTATATACCCACTAGTAGGTGGCGATTTCCTCTAGTATATTATAAATCAGATGACTCATATATATTAGTGAGCGTTCCCTGAGCTTCCATAGTGAGCTATTCCATAGGCTTCCATAGTAAACCATTATAAATGAGAGTGGCGAAGCTAATATTAGTAGTTGAACCTGGTACTGGAAGGACTAGTAAGCTAGTACCAATTCAACAAAAGACTAACAGTTCCGTTCCTCCACCGATGGCTGCACTCAAAATATAATTATATTTCAAGAACCATTCAGGGTGGCGTCTGCGGACGTAGAACTGCACGTAGAACCCGAGACCGAAGGCGACCATGACGGAGGAGTTGATGCCCACTGAGAGGTAACCGAGATACCAGGAGATAACGGGTGTGACGACGTAGTTGAAGCCGACTTTTGGGAAGGCACGGTGGGCGAAGTAAAAAGGGAGCGGGAGGAAGAAGCCGATGGGGAGGGCGAGAATGATCCATTGGTATTGACGGCCGATGCTGAAGAGGTAGCTTGATAGGCCTCCGAAAGCGATTGCCTTAGAGTTGTTAGTTATCGTGGAGGAAAGGAGCGAAACATGGTTGGAAACGAGTGACTTACGTTTGAGTTGAACGATTGGATAACTTGCCCGGACCAGATGTTGGTTCCTTGGATAGAGAGAAGAATCTCGCGCTGATTGGTTGTAATAGAGCTCATCAGAACGTAGTTGATGATGGCGCCGAACACCGTTCCCATGATTTGGACCATGAAGGTACATCTTGGGCTAAGCTTGCCGTATTGACCAAGCTTCAGATTTTCGACCAAGAACAGAGCTTGAGACTGAGCATTGGCTCCGAAGAGGACAAAGTACATGTTAGCGACTGGCTTGCCAGGATGAAGATAGCCACCGATGAGCTGAACTAGCCCAGTGATGGGCACGCCGAAGCCGATGAGTCCAGTCAGGGCACCGAAGAACAAAGTACTGCCGAATGAGAGAGCGCAGGCAACCAAGAATCCCCACCAGGGTAAGGTGGACTTCAAGTTGTAGATGCAGAACAAAGCGGTGGCCATTGACAGGCCCAAGATGAGGAGGTACCACCAGGATGGGACTTCTTTGTATGCGAGCATTTGTTTGTAATGGGGGTCCAACTCTTCTTTCTCGTCGTCAAGTCTTTCCATTCCGAGGCTTTGAGGACTCTTCTCCCAAAACATCATCTTCGGCCGAAAGTTCTTTGCGGTGGACCATTTTGGGAGCTTGAACGTCTTGCCAACGATGTCGCCGTTCCACAGAAGAATGTGAATGATCGTTGCAGTAATACCGAGATTGGTGGTCAGAAGGAACGATGCGTTAGTTGTAGCAAAGAATGGAAGTCCGATCACGTCAAGTATTGATGGGTCAAGCTCATTGTAGGCATCCAGGATGGCGCTCTGGTTGAAGACGACGAATTGTGTCGCGTTGGAGGCCTGGGAGAAGAGTGCTTGGCTCAAGAATGGAAAGTCCAAAGCGTTCCAGAGGTTGCCGTAGTACATCCAAATGTACATTCCGGTGCACAGGACAAATCCAACAAAGGCGTTCGTGAGGGTGATCAGAGGGGTGAAGAACGCCGATGTACCCACGTATTGCCAATCAAAGCTGAAGGCCAATAACCCGAGCCCCTCGTTTCCACTAGATCCACCAAAGATGTTTGTGAAGACTAAGCTTTCTCGGTTTGCTAGACAGAAGAAGCTCACACCGGTCAAAACTGGCATGACATACTGGGGGAATAGTTCCCAAACAGCGACAACACCAAAGACGATCCAGAAAAAATTGAATTTCTTCCTCATCTCACTCTTATCTCGGTGCAGGGTCTCGATAAGAGAACTTAGGGGTAAAATGCTGGGCCACAACATTTTTGTAGGGTATACCAAACTCTTGCGAAGCACTCCGGCCATGCCGTATCCAAGCAACTGCGACGACAGGAGAAGTAAAATCGCAACAACTGCATTTGGAACAATGTTATAGTATAGCTTCTGCGTGGCCAAAACCTCGGTGGCATATGCTGCTGAGGATGCGGACGAAGACATGATCACAATTGCCAAGTGTTCCTTCGAGTTGAAGCTGTGTGGGTTGAACCATCGACCAATGAGCCCACGTCTCGGGAGACCAAGGGACATTGCGTTGCCAATGACATAGCTGATAACTGTTAAGAAGATAACAGACACAGCTACAGATTGTGGTTTGAACAGGAATATTGTGGCTAAGGCAGATCCAAATCCAGAAAGGCCAAAACCTAGTAGTACAATCAGTAGAACTCTGGCAGGGCTTCAACAATAGCCTTCGGTACCTAGGAAGAGCATTCTGAACGTCCAAGGATTCAATGAAGAATCATCGTCGACGTGAAGTGCCTTCAAGGCAATAGTCTCCATATTCGCAACCAACGGTTCAGCGGCTCTCTCTGAATCCCGAGTCTTGTACCTGACAAGACTTTCAGTTCCCAACATAATCTTCTCCAACGATGTAGTCGCCGCTGACATCTGCAAATCCATGGTCACAGCGCGTGCCGGCTTGCGGCCTGGTCGTGTCCCAGACATTGCTGCTGTAGTGCTGGCCTCCGCAGGCTCATCTGAGGGGTACAAGAGAAAGGCGAGTTCATAAACAACATGAGAGTGCCCAATTCCAAGAAAAGGAATCTTACTTCCGCAGTCCCGTCAAAGATAACGAACCACAGGGGCTCCCATACCAAACCTTAGTAAAGACAGCAAATATTAGAGAGTGCATAACTCGCAAGCTGAACATTAAAAAATCCCGGTGTGAGGTTGGTTGCAGAGTACGGGGCTTAGAACTACTACTCGACCTGGTCAATGATATTGCTGCCAGCTATCAGCAGCCATGCCATTGGAACAGAGGCGAGACTCCCAGGAACCAAGTTAAGCATTTTCTATCTTGGCGAGGGTATTTATCTGGAGATCGTTTAGTGGGGGCAGCAGTGAACGGATCATGTTCTGTGATGGTTGTTGGCTGAAAATTCGTACACGGATGCCAAGCGAATTCCCCCGACTCTTGTGCGACACAGCCAAAACGCGATTAAGAATTTCCACAATGCTATGCATAAGTCGCCTTGTTTCGATATTTTAACGGCAGATAAGGTGCCCAGCCGGCCCTGCTCAAGCCGGTGATATTTGTGTGAGCAGACGGTGAGAGGTCAACTCTGCAATTCAGAGCAAGATAAGGGGGAGTGGAGCCGAACGATACTCTCTGCCGATGGCGTACATTCAGTGGCATTATTGCGAAGGATGGATCTCATGTCCCTCAGTTCTCATGTCCCTCAGAAAAGCGACCAGTGTATTGTCCTGGTAATAGGTGAGCCAATCTGAAGAAGGAACTAACGTGAGGATTCTAGAAAAAATTGAGATCCCGATCTTGGATGAGATTATCTTGGAGGAAAACGAAAATGAACCACGAAGGTCAACATCTCTTCTTTATGTTCTTGATCGCATAAATTCTACGCCGCATTACTCAAAACCGCGCCGCTGGGCGCTGTTTGGTGCAGAGGAATAATTAACGACTCAACTGCCATATGGCGGATGAGAAGGTTGGAGGTACGATGGGAGGTTGATCATAGGCACGTGAAACACACGTGATATGCACCTCCACTCTTTGTGCAGAATGTTTATTGGACACGATGCATATCAGGGAATACATTGATTGCTCTTGCGCTCTCTCCCTGCGTCGAACGATTTCCGACGAAATAAGCACAGTCTCAAGTGACCCGTTTCGTTTCTCGCCCGAGATTTAGGGTTCGACGAGTGTTACGTCTGAGTACTTTTGAATAATCTTAGTCTGATAGTAAGAGATTCGAGGAAATGGGGGCTAGCATCCATGTTTGAGTAGCCGAAGAGAAAGTGCGGAGCTCCCTGTCCTTTCTTTGCGGGTCGTTCGAACAAATTGTGGCAAGCTGCCGCTGTTCTTGCTGCCACTTCTCTGATGTACTGGAATCTTCGACAATAATAAGATCCATATCAGAAAATGTGTGCGCACGACACGGGAAAGCCTCGGCACATTGGATTTGCGAAAAGGCATTTGATTTATAGCGCTGCAGTACTCAAAGTTGTCACGTTGGTTGAGTGGCCCAACCCCCTGAAAGTTAAGCGACAACCCTGAGTTTAGCGAGTTATTGGTCGCTCAGCGACTTTTAGTGGCGGCCGACCCCAAGGAAGATCTGCAAGTTTGACTTCAACAAACTCCTCGTCATCTTAACTCCGTTCCCGAATTATAATCATTCTCACAACTGAATTTTGACACTTTTTGAGAATGGTAGAAAAGTCATACACCTCCGTAGAAAAGAAGGGTTTGTTGTACACAAAATCAAACACCACCACACGGCCCACAAATCCCGTCAGTAGACCTGCAGTTACCACAGTTATTCCCGACCTTCCGAAAAGCAACCTCTGCACGGCATGCAATCACCAACTCGGAGCTCCCCCCCCTATTTCCGATTCTCCGTTCCCGCTCCCTTTTCTCCGCGCACTATAAACATTCCCTCCAACCCCATACCCCCTTAACCTACCAGCGCATTGACCCTCAGAATGACATCCCAAACCAAACCCCTTGTCTGGCTCATAACCGGCTGCTCCGCCGGATTCGGCAAGTCCCTGGCCCTCCTCGTCCTCAAGGCAGGCCACCACGTAATCGCCACCTCCCGAACACCTTCTAAATCCACATCCCTTGTCAAGAAAGTCGAAGCGCTAGGCGGAATATGGCTTCCTCTAGATCTAACCTCCGGCAAAGAAAACATGCAAAAAATCGTGGATGAGGGGACTAAGAAATGGGGGCGCATTGACGTCTTGGTTAACAATGCTGGGATATCGATTTTGGGGGCGTTGGAGGACTTTAGGTGAGTTCGAAAAGTGGATTGGTGGGAAAGAGAGCTGAGTAGGGGCTAATTGAATGGCAGTGAGCAAGAGGCAAAACTGGTTATGGAAACGAATTTCTTTGGTCCAGTAAGATTGATTCAGAGAGTGCTGCCTCAAATGCGAGCCCGCCGAAGTGGTATCATAGTCAATATTTCCAGCGGTGCGGGCGTGGATCCCAGCCCCGCGATGGGAATGTATGGGGCCTCAAAATGGGCACTTGAAGGTGCATCTCAAGGTTTTGCGAAAGAGCTATCGCCGTTTGGAATCAGGGTTTTGATTGTCCAACCGGGTGCTTTTACGACGAACATGATGAATGCGGTGACGATGACGGAGAAAGATGCGAGTGTGAACTACAAGGGCACGGTTGTGGAGAAGATGGTGGATGTTTTTAGGACGAATGGGGAGTTCAAGGCGCCGAATGATGTTGAGAAGGGCTGTCAGGGGATCTTTGAGGTAGTGACGGGAACGGGGAGAGGGGTGGGAAAGGAGGGGTATAGCAGGTTGGTGTTGAGTAGGGATATTGGGCAGAGGACGCTCGAGCAGACGAAGAGGAATACCGATGCTTTGGAGGCATTTAGGGATGTTTGGGAGAATACTGGGCATGATGGTGGGGTTGTGAAGTCGATGGCGGAGATTGAGTCGGAGGCTGCTAGTGCGTGATTTCCGTCAGCGATGAAGAACCATGTGTGATAGACATACAGTCATTGTGAATCTATGTGGACAAGGAAGATTTCTTGAGTAGACCGGGGCAGTGCCTCACAGATTGTCGCCGTATAAGCTTCTACTATTTTCTTCCCTTCAATCGTCCGAATTTCAGAAGAAAGTTTTGTCTACTTCGTAGGCGGGCACCCTCGGTTCCTTCAAGAACGACCCTTCCTCTGCTAGCCAAAACCACTCTTCGCGTAAGTTCATTACTTGCCACTCTTCCTCTTCCTTCCAATCGCCTTCTCGAATCTGCAATGCTGGTACCGTTGACAACTTGGTTTGTACGCAAAGCCGATCGTTCGCCATTTTGATACCATCGAAATATTTCTCTTCTCAGTCATAATACAGAGGGGACCAATCTCCCTGCCGGAAATATGGCTGAGGAACACTCAGTTCTACCCCCCTCCCGTGTGTGGAAAGAGACCAGGAAATAGTTCGAGGAATATGTGGTGCTGCCATAGGTAACGAATGGAAGGAGGAAGTGAATATTCATAATGTTCTCGCCGCCCTTGAACTTCAGAATCACCTCCCGGATGTTTGCGGCGTCCGAAAGTGGGGTTGGGATCATGGGCGTGAGAAGACCCCCTCTCGCAGCTCAGGAGGCAGCTTGTGCAATGGGCAAGCCATCTTACTGCCATTTGAAGCTATGGACTTATTCCTCTGAGCATGCAGCCGGAGGTTAAAGGACGACTTGCGGCCTCGTTTCCGCAGTGTGTCATTAGGTGGCTCGCGGTGTTCGGACATGTTTCAATACATATCACCGAAGCAGTGCGGCATCGAGTGTCTCTGCGCGTTTACGAGACCAATTGGACCGCACTGGGTCTGCATGAACTTTTCTGCTTTTGCTTGATGGTCGGAATTGCAGGTATTTACAATGCAGCAATTAGTTCCCGTCTGAACAGTGTGGGAAATGAATAGAGTAGAGTAGAGTAGTGGCCCCTACTTACATTCTACTTACATTCTACTTATATTCTACTTAAGGTAATCTCAGACGACAATTTTTCCATTCCGCATCTAACACGGTTCCTAGGGAACCTAAACGGGATCCCTCCTAAAAATACAGCATGGTACACTTTTAGCACTATAGCTGCGAGCATGTTTTGTAAGACTATACCTCCGAGTACTCGCCCTTAACTTATTACATGTAAGCGTACTGCAAGGCGACATACGTGCCTTACTCTTACTCTAGAGCGAAGTACTCCAAATTCTAGCACTAAAATTAGAATACTCCGGCCTGTCATACCGAGGTTCAGCATACTAGAATAAGATTATATCAAAGTTTCTTCACAAACCAGCCCTTTAAAAAAAAAAAACTTTCTAAGTAGTTGATTCGTGCTTTTAATTAAAAGAATTCCTTGGATTCCACGTCCTCTCCTAAGGCAGAAAGTTGAGCCTCAAGCGCTAAGAAATATCCATCTTCAGTCACTATATCTATCGTAGTATTTGTGACGCTTCATACCGCCACGTGACTTTCACACGACCTGGAAGCGCTAGAGGGGCCTGTGAGCGCCGTACATAACTAGGGTTATGTATATAAACAACAGCTTATCTCCCTTTCTCTCTTCTTCTGCTCTATGTCACGGGCATGCTCCAAGGTCACATGATTACAGATTGTACTGTACCAGCCCTTGTTGTATTGTTAGTGCCGAAGTCAAGGATACTGAAGCTTAGTTAAGCTACAGTGGCCTTTGCCACTGTACGTACGCTAAAAAAAAAAAATACCGCTGAATCAGCCTTGAAGAGCTTGGGTTATAGGGTGTCAAGCGTGGTAAATAAGTCACTAGAAATCCCGAATACAGCTAAGGGTTCAGCTGTACAGGGAGCTGAATAGCGGTTGCGACATGTATTTACTGCATGTGAAGCCGAGCGATAGCGTAGTCAGGGCCCATAATACAGGCTACTTCCCACTGTCAGTAGCCATCGATTCAGTTGATTTTTACCCTCTTATTATATGTTGCACGTGACCTTATAGCCTGAAATCAACAACCTTCACGGACCACCCGTAAAGGCAATAGCCTAGCCTCAAATCAGACCTTTAACAAGTCTAGGGATATACGTTGGTCGCGATAACTCCAAGGACTTGCCTTCTCCCTTCCCCTCTAGCTTTGGTTCTTTAATAGAACTGCCTCTTTCTCTCCTCGTCATCGGTTGTACCTACAGGTCAGGGTAACTACCATGGGGTTCAGATTGAGTTCGTCGCACTAACGCCGATTTTGGAGGTCCTTAAAACGCAGCTCAACTCTATATGTTTGCCTATTTTAATAGGTAAGCGCAACATAACGGCAGGTTCCAACGTTTGGAGTTTGGTCTTTGACGGTTCATCACAGAATAGGGCAAGGAGCCGCCGTTCGAGGATTCTCACACAGTCCGAATATTTCTTTGACTTCACACTACTCCGAGCACTGTGATAGTCATCTCATTTACTTTTGGGACCTCAATTACAATTGGCTATCACATCTGCAGGCCTCTTAGTACCATGATACATCGAGTAAGCGAGCTAAGCACTTGAGTTATATTTATCATCAAGCGCTTAAGAATAATAAACATTAGATAAGAGCCAGAAGACGCTGTTGTGGTCTCGATTTAATCCAATCTTCCTGCTCCACTCTCCCTTGAAAGGCTGTTACCCTAGTATAGGCCTCCGGCTTAGTGTTAGTACAGCTCATTACAAGCATAAGTCCAAATTTTACGACGATTCGAGTGACCCCAAAATGCACACCATAAAACGCCACAGTCGTGACAGCGAACTCTAACATTTCAGGCTGCTTTTCTCGCCATTCGGAATCCAGGCGAACGAACCCGATTGGCTGGTAGCTCTCTGGTTATAGACGAACGGTAAATTCCCCGATACTTGAATTACCCTTCCTATCGTATTTAGGTTGTCGATCTACAAACAAGGTGTCGCAGCTAGTCCAAAAGAACACATAATGAGAAAGTGGTGGCCCTGAGCGGTCTTTGAGAGAAATGTATGAGTCCAGAAGATGCTCATAATTCTTTGGTGGAGTGAAATGGCCCTTAATCGCTTTCTCGATTAATATCTCGGACGTGGAGGATAGTCTTCCTTCTTCTATCGCCCTGAGGCGCATTGAAGTAACCCGGCCAATAGAATTTTGCTCAAAACATTGGACTTTAGTGTCATCTCTAATATTGTAGCATGTTAGAATGGAACTATGGTCATACCACGAACCAATTTGATAATAGATACCATCGCGAATAATCCCTGCGTGTGGAAAGTCACTGGTATAATTCCAACCTGCCTAGGACTAGCTTGGGAACAAGGGTCTTCTCTTGATTGGGAACGACGGATTGGCCGACCACAGTAGCGTTGATCCGAACTCTTTCGATGGCATGCCCCATAAATGAGTGCCGATAATGTCCTCAAGACGACGGAGAATTCCAAGAAAAGCATACAAAATGTCCTCCTCTTTAGTGAGAACCCGACGAACATACTAAGCAACGAGCTGAGAGTAATTTCCTAGATATTGACCTGAAGACCCTTGTGCTGCTGTTCAAAATTGATACAACGGAAGGTCCTAACCGGGCCAGTTATCACGGAAACTTAAAAATTGTAAACCAAAATCTTCAGCCCATAATGCTTCTTTACAGTGAAAGAAAACATATCTTCCTGTAAATACGACCATTCTCTTCGATAGTATATACTCTTGAAGGGTCCACCCACGACTGGCCCATTTTGATTCTGCAATGATTTCTGTAGCGATTTGAGGGCTTAGACAAGAGACAAAGTAAATGCCTGAGATAGTCTCGACATGGAATGAAAGGTGGGAATTAAATCTGTTACCCCCCGTTCGTCAATACGAGCGATTGGTCAATCGGGGTCCCCATTGCCCAATCGCGGGCCCCGATTGCTTAATCGCTTGCTTAAGCGAACTCCGGTTTATAAATACGAGATCGAATACGAGCAAATTTTTAAAATACTAAAATATTTTAAACCCCATAAATTATTAAAATCCTATTAATGCAAATTATTAAAAATAGTTAAGTTAATTATATTAATTAAATAATATTAGCTTTAGCCTTTTATTAGAACTCTAAAACCTTTTTATTATAATTTTAATTTAAAAATATAAAATTATATATATCTTTTAATCTTTAATAGAATTTAATCTAAGAAAAAACTATTTAAGTCTCTTATAAGTATTAATCCTTTTTATTTAATTAAACTTTGGCCTTTATCCTTTATTAAAAAGTTATAAATTATTTTAAAATCGGGCTCTTTTATTAGCGAATCGGGCTCCTCGCTTAGGTCCGATTGACCAATCGCTCGTATTGACGAACGGCGGTGAACAAATCGAGGAGAGTTAAAAGGACGCAAGCCGGCATTCGCGCCATCTCCAGCCGCAGCGACGATCGTCAAGAGTGCTAAATTATACACTACGTCCATCGAGCTAATTTGATTATGTTTGTCCTCTTCTCCGTCTTGAAGAATGCACAAACAGTCCACCCGGAGATAGTTCTGGCTGAGATCTTGGCAGAGCTTGATAGCATCCGTTACGAAGATAACGGCATAAAGTATCGGGAATACAGAGCATTATTTTATGAAGGCCACTAAATGCCCTGTAAGGTCTTACTTTAATCTTCCTGTAGCTAGTCCTAGTCCCCTGCAAGCCCTGTAAGGGTCCCCTGAAATGTGGCTTACCTCGCTAAACCTCCGATTTCGATTATTTTTTGATCAGTTCGATTCTATCTATAAAAATAACTATCTAATTAGCCATCTTCTCTTGACCCTTCTTTCTACCTTCTTTCTACTTATTCCCCCCCTCCAAACGTATTATCTCCTTTATATAATCAGGAATTACTGCAATCCACTCTTGAATCTTGCTCTGGGGAAGGTCTTCCCAGCATTTCTCCCACCTCACTCTCAACTTCTTCCTATCGCTAGTAGGTCCCCGCTTAATAGTCTCCTTTTTTATCCAAAACCAGGCTTTCTCGATTACATTGAGATCAGATAAGTTCCTATCTTTATAATCTTCCATAGATTATAAACCTTTCCCTAGTAATGTAACTTGTGAGGTCCTGTATTATTCTCTTGTATAAGGATATTGGGACGATCCTTTTAGTATTCCCTTGCGAAGGGCAAGAGCTTCTTAATCAAGATCCTCTTTTGGTATTAATACTAATTAATCCCTCCTCGTCCATTCTTCACAACAAAGGCACCAGTCTCCTCGTTATGCTTCCATACCTTCCGTATTCCTCCAGGGGCCCTACCATAAGCCTTCTTCCAATCCCTTTAGCCAGTTTCCTTTGCCTCCTTCCCTCTTCTGTTTATTAGCCTTCTCATCCATGACTTGCGGGGGTTTGCGGGTATTTATATCCGCTCAGATGATTAATCATCGCTCATTTCCCCCCCATCAAGCTGCATAAGCCCATATTAAGCCTTCAGGGCACTTTTAGTAAGCTTATAGGGGCTTACATGGAATAAGGAGAGCTACAGGGAGATTAAAGTAAGACCTTACAGGGCATTTAGTGGCCTTCATAAAATAATGCTCTGTATTCCCGATACTTTATGCCGTTATCTTCGTATTGATTTCGGTAAGAGGAAGTCGTTGCCAAAAAGTGCGCCTTCTTTTTCCAATCTTATAAGATTCTGCTTATTTAAAGTCACCTGATTCTCACCGCCCCAGACGTAGCTTAAGGCGCAGTATATGGGGTCTGATTTAGCTGTAATAACGCAGCCTCTTTTGACGTCAATGAGTCGAAAGCCGCTTGGTAAAGCCAGAAAATCGTCTCTAGTGCTGTATTGCCGATGTCCGTTATTGCACCTGTTCAGCCAGGACTCGAGTTCTCCCACATCGAAAGTTCTTGGCCTAATTTTGTCCAAATGCTCCTGAATCTGGCTGTTCTTGTCTCCACATACTTGAATACTATAACTCGATCTCTTGACTCCTTCTTTTTGAGCTACAGAGACTTGGAACTCGTGGCCAGCATATACACCGCATATGAGGTCAAACTTCCCAGCTTCTGCGAAATCAAAGGTGTCGTCATTCCGAAAGCAACTAATAAGGAGTCGGCATAATGGTCAATTATTCTAGTTTAACACTGGAAGTAAATCCCAGAATTCGTCAAATTCCGTTTCTCGTTCCGTTCGTTTCGTACGACCTTCTTCGAGAGCGCGAAAGTTAAACTTGGCACACGTACGACAAAGTCCGTCATTATGCCTCGAAGTCATTGTTCTCGAAACAACCGAGGAGACGCCAGGGGCTAGTAAAGAGTAAGAATTTGAACCTGGAAAAAAGGTGATATCAAATGTGATAGGATATTTCTCTTCTGAACTTGTACGAAAGATGTTTTCGTGTTGCGAAAAAGGCTCGGATAAGCAAGAGGAGTTCTATAGATATACCTTTGATTTTGTGCTATAGCGGTTTATTGTACTAGAAGCTGAATATATTCCCTGCAGCTATTGGGTTTAATGCAGATGGTGCTATGTGAGTAGTGAGCAGACAGGCACTTGGAATTTGGAGAGTAGGATCAGAGACTCACCTAATTGGCTCTATGACTTCCACCAGAACCATAATCTTGATCTTTTACTAATGGAGTTCTCAGGCGGCATAGAGGACCTTTTTTGTATTGACGGGGGACTGGAGACTGTGCCTGAACGCAGTCTGAGTCTTCTTATCACCAAAGATCAAACTTATCATGTGGATGGCAAACTAAAGCTACCTAAGCTTTAAAATATTTGGTTGAGTCTTATCCGTTTCCTTGTAAATGTAAATATGCCTGCGTTTCGAACTGGCTTGAGAGGGCAATGCAAGGTCAGTGTGGGTCTCAGCCGCGCGCTTATTTAGATAAAAATATCGTATGACCGCAGAGGAGCGTCGAGTTAAGGGGAGCCCGGGAGAGTATGACGGCGACAGTGGTCGGAGTTCGAGGGTAGGGTAGGGCACTAAAGAAAATTGAAGTGTGGGGGAGGGAGTGACGAAGGATTTTCGAGAAAGAAAGAAAGAGCAGCGATGGAAGCCAGAAGCAGTGCTGCACTTATGCCCAAGCTGGGAGCGGCTAGAGAAGGGTATACCGGCCCAACGCCCACTTTTACCCCTGTTAAAACACGAAAAACTTGAGATATTTTTAAAGTGCTCAGAAGTTTTTTATAATCTTATGGATAATAAATAACGTCCCAAATATTTCCGAATGTCTCTTTAGTTGCTCCAAATTGCAGGGTTATAGCCAATTGATTGTTCGAGTAGTTAAGTCGTCGCTCGCTGTTTAACTATAAACCTGAAGTCTGCCTTGAAGTGTTGGATTCAGCCTCAGAAGGCTGACTCGGAATGCTAAATGGAGATGTCATGTATAGGAAGTGTTGCACGAAGGTGCGGTGTGGGTGTGATATATATAAAATAAGGAGCGAATAATACCTGTAAGAGGCCTAATATACAGGTGGTTAGGCGAGGTGAGACGAGTGGACCAGAAGGGATCCAAATCGGCTCCTGCAAGGACGCTTGATAAGTGAGACAAGGGAGCCAGAACGGAAACCATCAAGATATCTTAATAGGCTCAAAGAGGTGGCTGTGTTACAGGCAACAGGATTTGCAAAATTTTATATATAAATAATATGGAAACTGTAACTGATCCTCGAGGGAGCCAAAAAGTGAACCCCCTGAACGTGATCTAGCTGACTCATCAACGTGCTCAGGACTTATGGCTTAGCTCAGGTTAGAGCGGCAACTACTCAGGTCCGAAGACAGAAGTAGACTTTAGTGGGATCACTTATCGTCTGAGATTATAGTAGAAATGTCTCTCCCCGGAGATACACCGCAGGTGCCCGGGCATGTGTAAGGGCGGGCGTCCTTTAAGATAGGTTTTGGGGTGGAAACTTGTGCAGAATCTCAATCGCACTCCCTACCAATTTCGAGTTGTTGTAGTCTTTGTCTTTGAAAGTAATACCATTAGACACAATAAATGGGTTGTTTTATATAGATCAATCTGATGAAAGCAAGATTGGCTTGAAATCTCTACCGCAGAGCTTCCACCGTTCTCCTTCCTCTTCCTAGTTCCTCGTCCATCTTATTTTCGATTCGACCTTCTTTGCGTTTCGTAATCGATTCGATTCTCCCACCCACCGTCCCGTTATTTTTATATACGTCCATATATCGTCGTCTTTTCTTATAAGCAGCAGTTCTCTTTGTGCTATTCGATGCTCTAGATCGACGATTTACAGCCTAAAAAGCTGTGAGAGCATACCATAGCACAGAGGGAAGTGAGCGCTGTTGTTAAGGCATATGTAAATGCTAAAAAGCAAAAGAACCACGTTTTTCTGCTTACAAAAATGATGGATGAGATACCGGATAAAATACCTAAACTGCCATCCTTCTACTTGTAATACTTCAATTATATACATATGCAGTCTTCGACTAAGAAGACTCTTGTTGATTCTCAACATCCTTCGTGGGAGTTGATGACAATATCCCTACCATTTCAGATCCTTTCTTTCCTTCCAAAACTGCCCGACCCTCAATAGGTACCCGATTCAATGTCAAGCCTTTGGTAAGGAGGGAGAGCAACCCGGTCAATACTGCGAGACCTAACGTTGTCCACCAGACCACTCTCAAAGAATGGACAAAACTTTCGACAATATGTAATCTTGTCGGGCTATCAAGAGGAAGGCTTTTGATTGTCTGGGTAAGGGCAAGCGCATTTTTGGCAAATGTGAGTGAGCTGTCACTAAACTCTGGATCTTGGGATAAGCTCCTCTCCATTTGATTTTGGAAGATTGCATCTCCGACAACGATCCCCAAAGCTTGCCCCAGGGAACGAAAGAATGGAACTAAGCCAGCAGCAGTAGCCATGTCCTCATCACGAGCACTGGCCTGTGCTGGTGATGATAGAGACGTGTATAGCATACCCGAACCGAGGCCACTAACTACGAGAAGAAAGATCCAGCTAGGTGTCGAGGTTCCGATGTTTAAAAGCTGGAGGAGACCAGTGCCGAAAATGAAGAGTGCCCAGCCACCAAAGATAGCCCAGCGATACAGACCTATACGTGCGATGGTATTTCCAACAATTACGGCTGATAAGCCAGACGCCAAACAAAGGGGGAGCAAGGCGACACCGGCTTTGATCGGCGAAAAATTCAATGCAGTCTGGAAATAGAGCGGAAGATAATATATCGAGATGAAACTCTGCGTAGAATTAGCTATACTGGATATTTCAACGATAGGACGAACCTACTGCCATTCCGTGGATCAGAATTCCAAAATATGTGACTGCAGCCGTCCTGTTTCCTAGAACTCCCAATCGTACCATGGGCTTCGTGGCTAGAAGCTGTTCGAAAAAGCACCAACCTACAAGCCCCAAAAGTCCCAAAATGAGGGGTACCAGAGTTCTGACATTGTTCCACGAATAAGATATTCCGCCCTGTGGTCTCCATTAGTGTCTGCTCTGTAATGGGATCGGGTCTGCTTGCCCAAGAAATTGGAACTAGAAAACTCGTCAGAGACGAAACGAACAGGAAGGCACCGAACCAGTCGATGTCTTCGATGGTATGGCGAAAGTCTTTGGGCTTTTCATCAATACGAAGAAATGAGATTACTAGCGTGAGGCTGATTGCACTGAGCATTATCGATACCCAAAAGATCCAGCGCTTCACCAACAGTTAGTTTGATACGTACAGGCAATTTCGAAAGTCACAACATACCCATGACACTTTCTCAGAAAAGACACCTCCGATTATAGGTCCAAGGACAGCACCAACAAGCCAAACCATACTTAGAAGGCCGACCCACTTTCCACGTTCTTTAAGTGAAACAAGATCTGTTAAAACGACAAAAGTCATCGTCATCAGAGTCCCACCGCCAGAACCTTGTATACAACGTCCCACAATCAAGAGAGTGACATCTTGAGCAAGACTTGCCAGGAGCGCACCAATTGTAAAGAGTATTATTCCAAGGAGGACAATCGTTTTTCTGCCGAATATTCCGGACGCAGAAGCTGAGGTTGGTTGAAGCACGGTTGAGCAGACCTGATAAGCGGTAACGGCCCAAAAACCTTGGATGTTGGTCGAATGGACATCTTTCACTATGCTCTGTAAACGAATAATAAGTAAAAGAAATTCGCATTCTAGCAAAGGCAGTTGAAAGGTATCTGACTGTTCGAAAGATATGAATGTTCGAGGTGAGCTGTCACACAATTGTGCGGCACTACCCATATTTGAAGACGTGCTAATGTTTGTAAACTTGATGAAGGGACAAACTTACTGGCAGAGATACCGAGAATGCAGTTGCTTCGATGGCCGCATTGAAATTCCAACAACAAATTCCAAGCATGCAGAATAAGAAGGTCCTTGTCTGTGGTTTTGACATGGCAAATCTCGGTACTAATGAGTCGCTTAGATAGTTCGACCTTTCCACGTAGTCTCTCCCTGTGTAGAATTCATGGTTAGTCGACTATTGTTGGCACCACAAATTGTAAAGTACATACCTGGTCCGTTTTTCAAATATCAAAGCTGGCTTACCTAGGAAAATAGCGTGTTGGTAGATCACTCGAGGATTAGTACTATGTGGATGAGGAGGGCAACATTGCAGTACCTCTAGCGAAATGCTCTGATGATGAGGGATATGTCTTGTAGTGCATGTCAGATGCATCCTCTCATAAGATGTCTGCTCTAGTAAACGTCCGAGACGGCATTCGCTCCAATGAGCATGAGCGATTTCTGTTGATCTACATGAGTACTCCTTGTTCCAGAAGAACATGTAGACTGAAATGGCTTAGGCTAATTCCGGCATAGAATTACCGTACCTATACATGGACATCGAAAACGCCGTCCGCGACAGTTTCCTGAATTTTTGATTACAGCCCTGATGTGGTCAGAACCTATAATTAGATACAGGGATGTTGGTTAGTAAGCCTCTCGCTACCGAATGACGCTACAATGCTACCCTCCTACCCATTATTCCTTATATCGATGATGTAAGACAGAATCGATCCCACAGAGTGTCCAATTCTGTAACAATTTACTGCATGCTCCGTGTGCTTCCTGTTCAGTCTTACGTCCATAACTAAAACCTTGTTTTTGATCGTATTTGTCACAAACGCAGTAACGCGAAATCATACTAGGGTAGAATTACTATTCTTAGGGTGTCACCGCGCCCCTGTAAGCTTACATGTAGGAGAAAACCCTTAGATTCTATTCTAGTGAAAATCTCGGCGCGATAACATGCAAGAATTCCAGTATGTGGCTGATCCATCTTCCTGACTTTTGATGTTAGACACTTCTGTTGATTGAAAATCCTTTGCATTTACTACTTACAATTTGCTTGCGAAATACTGAATAGATCATGCGAAATGGCGAATTCAGTGCCTTTCACAACTGTAGCAATAATTGGTGCAGGATTCTCAGGACTGGGAATTGCGTGTCAACTGAAGAAAAAACTAAATTTCACTGATTTTATGATCTTTGAACGCGCGTCCGGACTTGGAGGAACTTGGCGCTCAAACACATGTGGGCATATCACTCCGCTGTCTAAATAAATCTTCCATTGCTGACCTCAATAGACCCTGGATGTGGTGTCGATGTTCCGGCCGTATTGTACAGTCTGTCATTCGCACCAAATTCGAACTTCTCAAAACTATTTCCAGATCAAGACGAAATTCTGTCCTATCTCCAAAGGCTTGCTGTAGACTTTAACATCTGTTCAAGCATCAGATACAACATCTCTTGTGAAAGCGCAAAGTGGCAGGAGAAGACCGGAACCTGGCTCTTGAAACTTCAAGTGAGTCATACTGGCGAAATTATTGAGCACCATTGTAAAGTCCTCATCTCCGCCGTTGGTCGTTTGGTTGTACCAAATTCATTCGAGATTCCTGGCCGAGGTGAATTTCATGGACAGATCGTGCATAGTGCACAGTGGAGGTCCGATATCAGTGTCAAAGACAAGGACATAATCGTCATCGGCAACGGTTGTATGTATTTCACCTGCGATGAGAGATATGTGACGAGATAGTAAGACTAATATTTTGTTAGGTTCCGGCTCACAGATCGTCCCCGCCATTGCAGATGAAGCAAAGAACGTATACCACTTCATGAGAGTCAGTATGCTTCACCTCAACTTGCAGAACTTTTTGTTCATTCCACGCGTTAGACACCTCAATATTACGTTCCTAAGCCCATGGATCGGTGGCGTTTTGGCTCCATTGGGAAGTCAATGTTTCAATATATTCCAATCTTATTAAAGCTTCTTCGATTTCTTGTATTTGCATATCTGGAAATGACTTTCCAATCTTTCTCTCTTGGTCAAACTACACAGCAGCCGAGATCACGAGTTCGAGCAAAGGCTAATACTTATGTTCAACGATCTGCACCAGGTAAATAGAGGAAACAATTTTTATAAGGTGTCTTCGCTGATTAAGTTTGCAGCCGAGTATTGGAATCTTTTGATCCCAAAGTACGCCCTTGGATGCAAGGTACATCATGAAAATCTGAGAGTGGGTGATTACTAAATAATCCAAGAGAAAAATCTTAGATCCAGGCTATCTGGAATCGTTACACAGGCAGAATGTTCATCTCACCGATGACAGAATTATTTCTTTAAAGAGATGCGGCTTGGTGACAAGTTCGGGAAAAGATTACCCGGCAGACATTATCGTATGAATTCCCAGTTTTCACTCGCATATAGTTGACCACTGATACTAAAATATCCAGATCGTTGCTAATGGCTTCAACTCCTTCTTCTATGAAATGAGCGTGGTCGGTCGACGTGGTGAAACTCTCGTCAGCCATTGGAAAACCTTTGGGGGCATTGAAGCTTATAAGACAACGGCCTTAGCTGGCTTTCCAAATTTCTTTTTGTTATCTGGACCCAACTCCGTTAGCGGGCACAGCTCTTCGGTGTTTTCGATCGAGAGGCAAGGACTAAGTCACACTCTTGCGACCATTGCTAACAAGTAGAAGCACTATCGACCTCATTGTAAAGGCTGTCAAACCAGTTTTGGAAAGACATGCCATTGAAGTAGAAGTGAAGTCCGAGGCTGAACAAAAATGGGTTAACGACGTTCAAACCGCATTGAAGTCGCGTGTTTATGCAGATAATTGTGCCACGGTAGGTTTCTCAATTTCCTCTACCGCAGCTTGTCATTAGCAGTTCAAGGGATGACGTACTAACTGCAAGTCATTTTAGTACTACGTCGATCAGAAAACCGGCTGGAACTTTACAAATTATCCATGGAGCTTTGTTCATTTATGGTGGAGCAATAAATTCCCTGACATGCGCGACTGGTCTTACCGCTACTTGGATTAATCCATCTCCTAGTGCCTAAAACAATATTAAGGCTATTTTAATACATGATGAATTCTGGAGTAGCCCAGAAGCTACCTGCTTGTTCTTGACAAAATAAAATTCAATTCGGGATATACAGTACATCAAAAAGTAGAAATTATTATTTCTCAAGCTAAAGATTTTGAGTTCTCATGAATAATAAATCCTATATTCATCGGGGTAATAATTCCAAAAACTCCACATTTGGAGGTTACTGAATAAGGTAGTATTTCTCTATATCCACTAATTCTATTCGTCGAATCCCCCTTACTGAGAAGAAGTCTCTAGAAAGATTGGCGTAACTATTACCCCGGTGACGAGGTATACCAAACTCTGCGGAATCAGTCAGATGAGTGGTGTGGAGAAAGTGTAATGGCGAAAATCCTCCGTTGGCCAACGCGAGTAATAGCCGCATACTTTTGTCCTGAATATGTTTCCACACGCTTGAGGATTTAGACTTCTAGAAATTTCTACATAAAAACTAGGTGTAGATAACTTAGGTATTGGCCTAATTCACTGGTTCTCTCTGTGCTTTAGAATACTCAAGGGTGTAATTAATTATAGCAAAAGTTGGTATTGCTTATCAGAAAAGTATTTAGGGCAGAATAAACACTTGCTTACGCCAGACACTCGCTTACTCCAGACCCTTGCTTACGCCGGATTTGAGTGAGCTGAGCAAAGAAGGCTGACTGAGCATTAGTCAATGCCACCAAAGATCAAAGACTCGGGTTCCCATTAGTTGGGTTTCTTAGACTGCAGAAACGGATTGCATCCTGGTGGATCGCTATGCCGATCCAAATCTGGAACGAGTTGCAGCTACTTCAATACTTAATGCGTTTGACTGGTGCGGCCCGTCCTGCACTAAAAAGATTTGGAATACGTTGTGATCCATAGCTGATCTCGCTTCCTAGAGCTGCTTTAATTACCTTGAAATTGTAATCAATGAATATAAAACTTGTGACAGTTGGTCAGCCTCGGCATGCCTCCCAAAACAGAGAACTATTTTCTTATGTCTTAAACAAGGATTCAATCCCATTTATAAATAAATCCTATTGGTTGCATATCTCGAGGTTTTCATAATCAATGAAGCATGCGTCTATTATTAGCAGACTTGTGAATTTAATAGTTCTCAGCTCCGAGCTATCGTAGTCTGAATGAACAAAATTCTGTTATTCTAACATTCGTATCTCGGAGCTTCTTCAGAAACTTTAAATTTAAAGTTTCCTATTCTACGAGAAGCGAGTTATACACCCGTCATGAATTTTTCACTCGATCTCATTCTGGTTTGTGGTTTTATTCTAGTTGGCTGGTATATTCGAAGCTGGCAAAACACTCAACAAAGGCTGAAAACTCTCGGCGGTAGAGGAGCAACTGTGCCCGGACTTCCTTTTGGTTAGTTGCTGTTTGCCTTGGACAGTCGGTCTGCGACTAACCTTGAATTATCTGTTTTAGGCATACATATTGTGTTCGGCTTGATCAAAAACTGGTTTTGTGACGGGCTCGTGGAATACTGTAGCGACCTCCAGGGCCGCTTCGGCCACACCCTTGATTTTAATATACTAGGAATGCGTCTAGTAGTTACCGATGAACCTCAGAATTTCGAGGCAATTATGAGCACCAAGGTATACACCTTTACTTCCCATTTACTTATTTATGCATAGCTAACTATCTTGAAGTTCAAAGAATACGGAAAGGGGGAAAATCTACATAGGACTTGGAATAATCTAATGGGTGACTCAATTTTTGCAAGTATGCTTCTACAAAAATACTTCTGCTTAAAAGAATTGTTACTAATTCAAGCTTTCAGCTGATGGGCAGGTATGGCGGAGTTCACAGAGGTTACTTCGCCCTCACGTAGGTCATACCATCTCTTCCCGCCGTCTGATGTCGGTAATTTCGCAGTCGAGAAGTTAACCTGACCTGCAAAAAGCTTTCAAAAGGCTGGGACTCGGACTTCGAACGCACTGAGCTCCATGTCCAAAAGTTGCTAGATAAGCTTTCAGCAAAAAAAATAGTAAATGTCAGCAATCTGTCTTCGAGGTTCGCCCTAGATGTAGTTTCCGACATCTTTTTAGAAAAGTCAGCAAATACCTTGGAAACTGAAAAATTTCTGTTCGGAGAAGCAATGGATAAGCTACAAGCCTACAATACCATCAGAACTTGTTTTGGGTGAGTTTCAATTCTAGTCCTGACGTTTATTACTAAAACTTTATTTTGAAGATGGATCGGATCTATAATGCCCACTGTGTTTCTCTCGGGGGCTATGATCGAAGTGGAGAAGTATCTAGCACTTCAAGTTGAAAGAATTATGGCGATGCCGATTTATAGCACTTTGGGGAAAGAAGCTCAAAGTAGCAGACTGGTTGATTCATTACACTCCAAGTGTAGGAATGCGAAGGTAGGCAGCATCTCTCTTATAATTGCTAATATATGTTAACTGTTTAGGAAATGAGGGATCAAATAATTGCGGTTCTACTCGCGGGCAAAGTATAAAGCAGATTATCTATCTGACAACCGATGGGCACTAACTATGATGACAGGACCCCTTTGGACTGACTCTTGCATGGGCCTTGCACGAGTTAGCTCTCAACCCAGAGATAGTTCGAAAACTAAGAGCCGAAATTGTAACCCAGTAAGCATCTTCGCTTTCTCAAGCACTCATATCAGATGCGATGCTGATCCCCGAATTGTAGTGTAGGGCTTGAGAGGCTTCCCACGCCCAAAGATATCCAGAAAATGACCTATTTGAAGAACATAATCCAAGAGACGTTGCGATTATATCCCCCACGTATGATTTCCTAATCACTTTATACATCACAAATTCACAGCACTTCCCCAAGAACTTCCCACGCAATGTTTAGGTTGGATTAAGCTAATGAAATCTTTCACAGTCGGTTTCAATGTACGCGCGGCTCTTGAAGATACATGTCTTCCCATGGGTGGTGGTTCCTCAGGTCAGGATCCTATAGGAATTCTAAAAGGCACCCAAATAAGTCCGCTATCCTAGTCTCCACTTGATGCTAATATCAAAGGCTAACTGCTCTTTAGTCTACTCCGTGGTCTCTCTTCATCGTAATATTGGTTTCTTCGGTGAAGACGCACATGTTTTCAGGCCGGGGCGCTGGGAGACATGGCAACCCTTTAAGTGGCATTATCTGCCATTTAACCACGGACCCCGTGTCTGCCTTGGGCGAAACTTCTCCCTCATTCAGCTCCAATACACACTGTGCCGTCTCTTTCAGGTGTTCGAAAGTATCTCGGTACCTGATCCTGGAGAAACAGAAAAAGCATTGAGGGTTGAATTGAACATCAAGCCGGCTTCTCCCATAATGTGTACTTTCCATACATCCTCGGGATGGCCAGTTTAACCTGTTGTATCGCTAGATTCTAGAGGTTGCTCAAAGACTATAACATTCTATTATATAATGGGTTGATTTGGATGACATGGTTAAATATACTGTAAAATACCACAATCCGGTGTCCTACATTGCATTATTTAGACAGATACTCGACCCATCCCTGATGATACTCTTAGAATTTGTCATTTCCATGATCGTTTCCCAGAAGATAGTTATATGTAATCAGATATTAATGTCTACTGGATGGAGTGCGAAGCTACGAACTGACTAACCACTATCCCACAGACGAGATGCACGAACAAGAATAGTCTTATGGTCATCTAGAGGAGCCGGGCAAAGATTCCGAGGCAAAGGAATAAGGAGCAGCCAAGCATTCTATTAATGGAAAGCCGCGCCTTGCTGCGCCGCTGTCAACCTGTCAACCAACGTGGCTCGTTGCTAATATTAGCGCTTCTGAGGATAGTACTGAGGAGCCGTTTTAAGATGCGTGGCCCTGGTCAGCTCGACAGTAAGCCAACCCACCTCCTTATCAAACTGGGACCAACGAAGGACTTGGTATACCTAAAGATAGAAGCTGTGGTAATTACTCCGGACTTTTGTACAAATAGAGTGGATACTGCCAAGTCTCCCCATTGACAAAGGCTTGAAATTTTCTAAACTTTACAACGATATTCTTCCTCCCCAGGTGCTGGTTTCGATTATGCAGCAAAGCAAGAATTTCCTGCCGTCCATGGTACTTTCCGGAGTTTACATTCTGGTGACAGCCACTTTTTCTCTGCTCTTACTTTCATGGAAGTTTTACGCCTGGTCGGTCCTCTACCGTCAGAGACGCCTCCTGAAAAAGGAGCACGGATGCGAGGAACCACCTAGATATCCCAATAAGGATCCGGTTTTTGGACTCGACGTTGCATGGAGAAACTATATCAGTCAAAAAAATCATAATTTGCTACCCGAACTCTTGTCCCGGTATCAAAAATATGGCAACACATATTCCCTTCGCCTTGGTGGAAGTCGTTCTTTAAGCACAATTGAACCAGAGAACCTGAAATCAATTCTTTCAACGGACTTCGCAAGCTACTCTTTCGGATCAAGACGCACGAACGCACTAAAGCCTTTTCTATCAAAGTCCATATTCACCTTAACTGGTTCAGATTGGCAGCATTCTAGAGCCATGATCCGACCGAACTTGGCCAAAACCCAATTTATCGATGCCGAATCATCAACATTCGAAAAACACTTTGGCCGTATGTTATCCGTCCTCCCTAAAGACGGCTCAGAAATCGATCTTGAGCCCCTATTCTTTTCGTTCACCTTGAACACCAGCATCGAGCTATTGACAGGGCAGGATTTGTATCTAGATCACGACGTCTCAAAGCTTTTCGACGACGCTGGGCGTCTCATTGTCGACGAATTCTTACTACCATTTGTTCCCCTCCGTCAATCTAAAAAGGAGTACCTAGAGGCATCTCGGCTATGCCACACCTGGATTGATAGTTACATTCATCAGGCTATCAAGGAGCATCAATCATCAACATCGAATACATCTCTCGAGAACGAAAAGTTTCCAGGAAGTGGGAAATATTCTCTGCTCCAGGAACTTGTCAAAGAGACTTACGATGTACCACGGATTCGTGGAGAACTTCTCGGCATACTCGTGGCTGGCCGCGAGACAACTGCTGTGGCACTGACTTCACTGTGGTTCACACTTGCAAAACGCCCCGAAATTGTCCAGAAACTGCAAGCAGAGGTAGCAGAACTAGCCGGGCAGAGGCCAGACTTTGTACAGCTGAAAAAGATGCGATATCTGCAAAACACAATTCAGGAATGTAAGATTCATCAACACTGTTTAATTAGTATTGTTGAATAGAAATAACAATATAACAATAGCTCTCCGCCTCTATCCCTCACTTCCAACGAATATGCGCACAGCGGTACAAGATACTATTCTACCGGTCGGAGGAGGGCCAGACGGTTCCTCTCCTGTCTTCGTTGAGAAAGGGCAACTAGTAATCTTTAATTATTTTGCTATGCATAGACGCCAAGACATATTTGGAGCAGATGCAGATGTGTTCAGACCAGAAAGGTGGGAGGACGACGCTCTTCGACCTGGGTAAGTTTTGATTGGTCCATAACGTGTTGCCTATTCAGTACACAAACGTTTCCCTTGAACAGGTCTTGGAAGAGGCTAATTGATCCCAGATGGGGCTATCTTCCCTTTAACGGCGGCCCCCGAATCTGCTTAGGGCAGCAGTTCGCCCTAACGGAGATCGCATACACGACCGTGCGACTCCTACAGGAGTTCCAAGGCGTAGAGTCGCGTGATAACTCTCCCTGGAAGGAAAATTGGCACGTTACTTGTTCTGTAAAGACAGGGTGCAAAGTTTCACTCTTTTGATATAGTTATAGGTGATTGAACTTGGAAACCTGAGAGCACTACTATTTATGTCGGAAGGGTTGAAATAAAAGGGATGAACACTGCGTGGAGGGCTATGTTAAAGCAATTTTGAATCCGTGGTGATCTTGAATAGCTCTCAATGTGTCTTGAAGGCTAGAATCTCCGTCATATATGTGCTGTAGATCTTATCCTTGAGTGAGTCCCACTTCTGATCGTTCCGAGCTCGGCGTGAAAGACGTTGCGACAGAGTCAGATTCGGTTGACCCTCCGGGATCGTGACATTCCAGAACGTCGGTCATTATGTCATGGGACATCGGATTAGCACATCATTAGCCTTTACCAAGGTGATACGTGAGAGAACGGTATATGACGGATGGTATCTTAGTCCAAAGACATATCCAGGATGGAGAGAGAAGTGTTCAAACGGGTCGGGATTAGCATGAGCAGTCATGGAACCAAAAATTTGGACTGGTTAGAAGGCTGTCGGTAGGCTGGCTAATCAATGTCGTTGGTAATCTCATCGAATATGGACCTCCCTTCTGTCCAATACCGAGGCCGATAGCGATGCTCCTGCCAAAACCCCGAAATGACATTGCAAATGACATTAATTGCGTACATTGCACTTGACTTTCTCCTTACTTTTTACTTCTTATATAATAAATTACTTATAGTATAAGATATTTATAAGCTTACAAATAGCTTATATACTTTTCTAATTATTCTCTTTAATTTAGATTAATCAGAATTCTTCTAATCAGAATTTTTTGATTTGTAAAATTTTGAAGTTCTTCCTTTAATATTATTTTCTCGCTTAGAAATTTGGGGCTATTTTTTAAGTTCTTGAGATCTTTAAGTATAACTTTTATAATTCTTAACTTTTTAAAGTCATTCAAATTCTTATATATATATTAATAATAATTTTTATAATTATAAAAGTAATAAGAGCTTTAATAAGCTTAATATATAAGAGAAAGATTTTTGGGAAGGCCCTAGTAAGATTTAAGCGAAGCGGCCGTAACGGCCGCAAAACGGCCGCAATGGCTCGTGCGCTTTCAAGGCTCGTACGCCCTCGAATTTTTCTTCCCTTATTTAATAAAATATTAAATTTAATTACTTATATAAGAATTTCTAAAAATAGCCTATATAAAATTTATTAAGGATTTAATAAAGGATTAAGTGAATTAATAGGAATTTAAATAATTACTTTATTTCAAAATTTCAAAAGCTGAGTGTAATGTGCGAATGTGCAATGTGCAATGCGCAAATGCGCAAGTGTCATGAAAAATCGGGGTTTTGGCAGTACAGGGGTTAAGGGCTTCGGTAGAATGAACAAGAAAGGTGCCTGAAACAATCTCAAAAAGAACACCAGGTCCAATGATTCAATAAGCCTTACTCCAAATAACACCTGAAACTCAGCCATTCCGAGTCTTCCACCCAGAAGGTCAATTTATACCTTTCTTTCCCAGCTGCCAATTTCAAAGCCCCCAATCTTTTCTCCTTTTTTTTTTTCGCCCGTTGTTCCATATAATTTAGGTGCAATTCGCAAAACCACTCTCACCAACAATAAAAGCACGATCCTTGCCATCCATAGAGCACGGCGCTCCCATATCGCAAATAACAGGAAAAGGGAAAATGGTGGTAGTTCCGTCCGCATTGAAGGCTTGGTGTAGTTTTTCAAATTGCGCCCGTAGTACGGCGAAGACGCAAAGCAGGAAATAGAAACGTCCCAACAAATGAATTGAAGGTCTCATATCCAACCACAGATGCAATTGCCATTTCTACTTTTGTCTCTTCTACATTAAGCTCGTTCTCCCACCAACCTCCCTATTCCCCTCTCCACTCTTCATCTCCCCATTCCTCCCCACCACAAACTCGCGATAAATGCTCTCTAGTCTCTTCCTCTCCTGTACGCTAATACTAGCCCTCGTGCTCTTCAAGCTCCCCTCCACATGCCGCCACTCAATAACCACCTCTTGCTGCTCCTTCTCTTCGTTCACCTTCTCCTCCACTTTCCCACCCTTCAACTCGGCCTTGGCCCTCTTCTTCGCAGCCTTAATCTCTGCAAGCTTGGCGGAGATCTCTGCCTTCTCAGCGAGCAGTTTGGCCTTATTATGTCCCGTTCTTGATCTCGCTTCAGAGTCCAGACGCTCCTCCTCTTCTCCATAGCGGAATTGGATGAATTGTTTCGTGCCGGTTGGAGTTGTGCCACTCGTGCGTTTTGCAGTTCTAACACCATTTTGCTCATGATCACCAAGCACATCGTGAATTGCCTCCAAATGTGCATTGTACACCAACGCTTGTAAATCAGCACCACTATAACCCTCCGTTCTGCTTGCAATCTCCTCTAAATTCATCATCACTTCTTGGCTAAGCTTTAGTTTCGTGCCTAGAGCACGCAAGATATCAACTCTATCCTCAAGATCAGGTAGATCACAGATCAGAGATTTATCGAGGCGGCCGGGACGGAGAAGGGCGGGGTCGATGAGATCCGGTCTACTCGTAGCAGCCAGCACGTACACACCCGACAGTCCTTCTGCTCCATCCATTTGCGTGAGCAATTGGTTAACAACCCGATCCGTGACACCGGTACTGTCGTGCCCTCGCTTCGGGGCTATGGAGTCGAATTCATCGAAGAAGAGTATGCAGGGCCTGGCGGCTTCGGCACGATCGAAGAGATCACGGACAGACTTCTCAGAAGCGCCAATGTATTTGTTAAGGATTTCGGGGCCTTTGACTGATATGAAGTTTAGGCCGCATTCGCCTGCTACTGCGGATGCAAGGAGTGTTTTCCCGCAGCCGGGATAGCCGTAGAGGAGGAGGCCGGAGCGGAGGCGGAGAGGGCATTGGGCAAAGATGGGGGCGTAGGTGGTAGGGTATTGAAGGGTTTCGAGGAGAATTTTTCGGGTGGCGTGAAGGCCGCCGATGGAGGAGAAGGTTGTAGTGCTTGTTTGAAGTGTGACGTTGCGAAGAGATGCGGGTGTGAAGCCTGTAAGAGCGCTGGCGAAGTCGTTGCGGCTGAGCTGCACGTTCGTCGATTCGACGTTCTTTGGTGATTGTGAGACTGAGCGAATTAATGCTTCGCTCCGAGCACGAGCAACGAGCAATACCAGGTCACCTGGCATGTACCCGTCAGTTTCACCAGCCAGGTCGAGAAAGTCGAGATCGGGAGAGACAACGAATCCGTCCTTGCTAGTAGATGCTGGATGGCTGGCCACACTAGCTCCCTCCATCCATCCTCCATCCTCTCCTTCACTAGCACTGCCATCTGCTGTTGCTGGACGACTGCCATATGCACTCTTATCATGAACTTCCGGATGCGCCATATTTTGCTTCACTACCATCTCCATTACTCGCCTTCTTGCTTCCTTGTTAGGCGCTTTCAAGCCAATTATCTCCCGGACAACGTGACCACCAACAATCACATTGTGAACAGACTCTTTGGCTTGAGCAGTTACAAGTAGTACGACACCACTGTCTCTGCCACAGTACTGCCTAACAAGAGCGCAAAGACATTCGCTGATCTGCCTGCTGCGACCATTTTCGCTAACCTCAAGCTCTGTCTCGACCGGACATATCTTATCTAAATCATCCAATATGACCATTGATTTCCCACCGAGCCTCGCACCCCAAGAGGCACTCATGAAAACACGAGTAAATGTCTCCTTGATCGTTGACACCCGAGTCTCATCTGTAACCAACTTTCGGCATGAAAAATATGTAGTATGGAAGAGCATCTCAGACTGAAGACGATGCGCTAGGAGATATGTAACAGAGCTCTTGCCAGAACCTAGAGCTCCGGTGAGCAGTACCGAGGACATGTGCGATAAATGTGACTGTAGTTGGTTGATCAAATCGTCAATCCCCACTAGGACTGGAGCTTGTTCTGGTAAGGGATCGTCGACTGTATTGCCTTTCGAGATGGACCAGGGACGCGGAATAGTACCCTGAAATTCAATTGTGAACTTCCGTTCTGAGCCTAGAAACCAATTACAAGTTGGCTTTGCGGAATCTGGTGGTGGATGATCAAATCGAAGGATTCCACCTTCCCAGGTTGATAAACGGTCAGGAGTACTCAGTTCTCCCAGAATGAAGCCATCAGTAAGAGGTCCATCTAGAATCCCATTGCCGAACATTTTCAGGACTCGCCTGCTAGCCTCTTCGCGTTCCGCTTTTGATTCTCCACCAAATGTCAGGCCCTCAGATTTCTTCCCGGTACCTGACTCAAAGGGATAAATTTTGACAACCTGGGTAGAAGACTTTGCTGATGGTTGAGCAGGATCCTTTGGAGGGGATGGCGCTTTCGAAACCTGTTGAGGGGCTGGCTCTAGCTTCACAACACCACCAACAAGCCCTTCACTGCCCATCGAAGCACACAGTGCTGACGAAAGTGCGATATGCTGGCTATCTGGCGGGTCATCCCATGGCATCAACCGTGCCACTACTTTGGTCGCAGCTTTTCCAGCTTCGCCCATTTTCTCCAGCTCTTGTTGAAGTTTCTGGGGGTCAATTGGAACCTGCAAGCTTGCTGGTTTGACCACAGTAACAGAAGCCCAAGTCAATCCTTTCAGGGCTTTGGAAAGTAATACATCCCGGTCAACCCAAACCTTCAAACCATGGTCTTGTGCATCCTTGGTGTCATCAAACCACTCGGCGCAGATACTTCGATCGAGGCCTCTAAAGAACATGACTGGTCTTGGCTCTTCACGACCACTTCTTCGGCGCACTGTGCTTACGCCACTCCGCCCTCCAGCACTCTTCCGTGAGGACACACTACGATTCTCTCCCGAACTTCGTGATGGTTTTGACCTTGCTTTGGGGGCAACGATCACCTCCGCATCAGGAGACAGTTTCGCGAATGGGGATGTCGAGGAGAGTTCGGGGACAAGTGATGTGACGATAATGTTGGCAGTCGAGGTTGGTGACAGGTGAAGTGTCAGGGGGTGTGGCGGAGGTTTGGGGGCATTCGAAGGGGTGTAATTTGGATTTGGCAGAGCTCGGATTTGATTAACAAGGTTAATCTCTAGGAAGGTCGCATGCAATTCCATAATCTCCCAGTCTTCCGGTGTCAAAGGCTCAATATTGACAGTGTGCGCAACGGGAGGGTCGACGTGTATGTTCGCCGTTACTTTTTGCCCATCAGAGAGTCCCAGTGCATGCGCAAATGTAGCATCAATCTCAATCAACGGCACATCTTGCTGTCGACCAGATGCATTTCCTCTTGTGCCACTTATGCCGTCTCTGCTGACCACTGGGGCTGGCTTGTTCTTGCTTTGCATCCCCGTCCATCCCACGTAGATGGACCTTTGTGTTGGCGCGCCATTTGTTTGATTGGAATTTTGGGGAGGTGGAATTCGATAGTTCAATTCTATGATGATATTTTGTGCTAGCTATAGAGAAGTCAGCAAAGCGCGTCGGCAAAGAGAGAGAGAGAACGTACCGTGTTTACATTGACCAGGAGTGAACACAGAGAGGATGGGAGATTAACGAAACAGTTCTTCAGATTATGGACAAGAGATATTTCAGCGGGAGTAGCCTGGCTGCTGCGCCTTCTCGAATCGGGAGCCATGGTGAGGGTATGGCAGGAAAGAATGAGGAAAGATCGTCAGTGAAGCTTCAACAATTCTTGTCGGACTTCACTCCCTCACGTTCGGCATCGAAAGCCTCGGCTCATCACGGACCCCAAATGTGGCTGATGCAGCCGTGGCTTGAAAACGCGTATCGCGTCCGTGGGCAGTTTTCGCGTCGCAGCGCGTAGAGTGGAAACGAGACATCCCATTGCAAATTCCCGCCATCTGAATATTGACCTTCTTCTTTGCGACAACCCACCTCGACCAGCTTCCTACTCTCCACCGCCGCACCACTCCCCTACAGTGACGAGATTGCAAGACGTCGAAACTTCCTTTACAGTTCTTCATACTCTCCAACCCGAATTCCCGTCCATAATTCAGGGGCTCGCGCAAGATGGCGCTTCTCCAGTACAGGGCGCCTGTCAACTATGAGGATCACCAGAGTAAGTTGGAGCCCTACCAGAATCGCAATCGCGCATATGCTTATTTTGTGCAGCTGCATTCGAGGACTTCCTCCAGACCTTCAAGACATCTCCCAAGGATGGCCTCTCGGGTGCGCTGAGTGACATGAACATTGATGAGGATGACTTCAGCGACGAGTATGACTTTATGGATGAAGATGATGAGGAGGGAAATGCGCGACGAGAAGCACGGAGTCAGGCAAAGGTTCCCAAGCTGAAGTATAAAGAACTGCTGCAGAAGGTCGCAGACAGATATGAGGAGGAGATTACGATTGACCTGGATGATCTTGCGAAGGTAGACCGCCCTCCGTATGGTGATGTTCGTGATTCTAACAATGTTTCTCAATAGTACGATCAATCGTTAGAAGAAAACGGAACACCAATGAATCTGGTTGAATCAATCGAGGCTAACGCAAAGCACTATCTCGATATTTTCGCCAAGGCCATCGATGTAGCCATGCCTGACCCAACGCGAGAGATCAAGTAAGCCGGGCGGGAATTTGGAGAATTACTTGCAAGTTCTAACAGTCTTTTAGCTTCAAGGATGATGTCTTGGATGTTCTGATGTCGCAACGAACGGCTCGCAACAATGCCTTATTGCGAGCTGCTGCAGAGCAAACCGATCCTACCATCGAACCCGAGCTTTTCCCCGCTGAGTTAACCCGGCGATATACCCTCAATTTCAAGCCTCGGACACGCGGAGATGAGCCAGTAAAGGCTTTAGCTGTTCGACAAGTCCGTGGAGAGCATCTTGGTCATTTGATTACCGTCCGAGGGATCACCACAAGAGTTTCGGATGTGAAGCCAACTGTTGAAGTTAATGCGTACACTTGCGACCGTTGTGGATGTGAGATTTTCCAGCCAGTTGGAAGCAAGACTTTCGGGCCTTTGATCGAATGCCCTTCCCAAGATTGCAAGACCAACCAGGCCAAGGGACAGTTGCATCACTCTACGCGGGCTTCCAAATTTCAGCCTTTCCAGGAAGTTAAGATTCAAGAGATGGCTGAGCAGGTACCAGTCGGTCATATCCCCAGAATGTTGACGGTCCTATGCCACGGTGCTTTGGTCCGAAGAATCAATCCTGGAGACGTTGTTGATATCGCTGGTATCTTCCTGCCCACGCCATACACCGGATTCAAGGCTATTAGAGCAGGTCTCCTGACTGATACCTACCTCGAAGCTCAACATGTAACCCAACACAAGAAAGCATATGAAGATTTGGCCATTGACAACCGAGTTTTCAAGCGCATCGAGCAATACCGAGCTTCTGGCCATGTTTACGAGTACCTGGCAAAGTCAATTGCACCTGAAATTTATGGTCATTTGGATGTCAAGAAGGCACTCTTGCTACTTTTGGTTGGTGGTGTCACAAAAGAGATGGGAGACGGCATGCGAATCAGAGGTGACATCAACATTTGCTTGATGGGTGACCCTGGTGTGGCAAAATCTCAATTGCTCAAGTACATCACGAAGGTGGCTCCTCGAGGAGTTTACACAACCGGCCGCGGAAGCAGTGGTGTTGGTCTCACAGCAGCTGTTATGAAGGATCCAGTCACGGACGAGATGATCTTAGAAGGTGGTGCCCTAGTCTTGGCTGACAACGGTATATGTTGTATCGATGAATTCGACAAGATGGACGATAGTGACCGAACGGCCATCCATGAAGTTATGGAACAACAAACGATATCCATCTCGAAAGCTGGCATTTCCACCACACTCAATGCACGAACCTCAATTCTAGCTGCCGCAAATCCTCTCTATGGTCGTTACAACCCACGCATCTCTCCTGTCGAGAACATCAACTTGCCAGCAGCACTTCTCTCTCGTTTCGATGTTCTCTTCCTTATCCTCGATACACCAACAAGAGATACCGATGCACTCCTCGCCCGTCACGTTACCTACGTCCACATGAACAATAAGCACCCTGACACCGACGGTGTCGTCTTCACTCCCCACGAAGTCCGCCAATACGTCGCACAGGCGCGAACCTTCCGTCCCATCGTCCCCACTGCTGTTTCTGAATACATGGTCAAAGCCTATGTGAAGATGCGAGAACAGCAATCCCGCGACGAGAAGAACAAAAAGCAGTTCGCCCACACCTCACCACGTACCCTTCTCGGCATACTGCGTCTCGCACAAGCCCTCGCTCGACTCCGCTTCAGCGAAGAAGTCGTTCAAGACGATGTCGACGAAGCCCTCCGTCTCATCGAAGCCTCCAAGGAATCCTTGTACCAAGACCAAGGCAATTACGGCCGAGACATGTCACCCAGCTCACGCATCTACAACCTGGTGAGAGGGTTGGCTGAGAGTGGACAATGCAGACCAGAGGATGCAGATGAGGATGAAGATGAGGCGGGTGGAATGGAGTTGAGTATGAGGAAGGTGGAGGAGAGAGTTATTGCCAAAGGGTTTACGAGGGATCAATGGCAGACTGCTGTTATGGAGTACACAAATTTGGACGTGAGTCTACCTTTATCCGTGCCCTTTCACCCTAAAACTTTACTAACGTGTTATCTACAGATTTGGCAAACAGCAAGCAACGGCACACGTCTCATTTTCATCGTCTCGGAAGCTGCCGATCTTGCCAGAGATGCGGAGTACGACATGGAATAATTGCATCCCTTGTCAACTTTTTTGAGAGCATGGTTCTTCATTTGGCGTTCAGGGTCGTGTGCTTTGTTGTGGTTGGGTTTGAGTGCCACTTTTCCAAGGCAAAAGAGGGCGTTGAGTTGCGGTGGTTGTGAATACCGATTTTATGTTAGAGTAGAAGAGGATGAGTTCAGATGTTGGTAATTGAGTATCATTGCATTTTTCTAGCCTGTTGGCCCTGCGTAAAAGCGAGTGCATGGTTGTGCATCACGTCCGAAGTCGCGACAGGACATTTAGATGGCCAAAATGTTGTGGTGAATTTCAGGATCTCTACTTTCTGAGCTGGAAAACGGGACCATGTCAATTCCATAGTTTTGTTGCATATCGTCTCAATGTACGGGGCCGAACTGGTACAATGGGAATGTCCACCAATCTCGAGTTAAGACAGGATTATGAGAGTGAATCATTTCCTCCTGTGGTCTTGTTGCGCATCACGTGAATATTCCAGGTGGATCTATAACACTGGTACATGGCTGAAGGGAAAGTCACGCTTTGAATTTTCGTTGCATTTTCCTCCATACTATTTCAATATCATATCTTTCTCGTTACTAACTCCACGCTCCTAGAATGCTATATAACTTGTGCCCGATGTAGCAAGTGCAGCCAGAATGGCATGAATTACCCGGATTTTAACGGCGGCTGCGATATTCGACTTGGTGGACGTCGTTGGGGACGACGACGTTGTGGTTGTTGTAACCTGGGTACTGGTACTTGAAGGATAGAGCAGTGAAGTACTAGAGGGCTGACTTGACACAACCGTATTGCCTCTGCTACATCCCTGTAACCAAAGTCATCAGGCTGAGCCAAGAGTAGAGCTTAATCGAACCTACCAGAGGGAAGAATGTTGTTCCGTTTGCAGCCGTCACGGCAACGCAATCAAAGGTGCACTGAGCGTCACCAGTTGTAGGTGAGCTTTCCCAACAGAAAGCATCTTTTATTCCGATTGGCGGGACATCGCGGAGACTACCCAGAAGTCAATGTGAGATGGTTGACAATTTGAGTATCTGTGCTGAGACTCACTTGTCGTCACAGTTTCCAGGCTGGGTGAAGACCCACTTGATTTTGTGCAGCGAAGTATAATGTTCCCCTTGAAGGATGGTTCGACGCAAAATGCCGTGCCGACATTTGTGCACTGTTGCGCCACACACCCCTCGAGGAAGACGAAAAGACTCAGAAGGAAGAAGTTGTTATGAAGCCGCATTCTTGTTGTTTCTTGATTCCTTGCTATCTTGAGTGAAAGGTTGTTGGGCTGTGAAGGCGGTATCAAGTCAATTGAGGGGCATCGAAATCCTAACGGCTAATTTCAAATAGAAACCGTGGGGGAAAACAGGTCGCTGATCAAAATGCCTTGCTGCGCTCAGTCGCTAATTATTGCTGAAAAGGAACGTGATGGTACACCAATCGTCGAATAAACTTTCAAGTTTTGCCACTGTGGCTTCAGCCACCTCCAGCTTCAACGTTACGCCACGCAGGGTCCCGAGTCCAGACTTTCAGCTAAGAATTTCTTGGTTTTTGAGCATGCCTTCAACTAGATACTTACATCTTTAATGGCAGATCAACCTTCTGAAAACTTGCCTCGCCACGAATATGTCAGGCCCGACACAGGATTCGGGTCCGGCAGAGGAGGCTCCTATCTTTGATTCCTCGGCCCATCCAGTTCCACTTCGGCCATCAAACGAAAGAGCCTCCTCGACAGATGCGTTGACAGGAGTGGAATATCCGTGCCAAGCGGTCCTCAAGTTACAGAAGTTTCACCAGCTACTAGAGAAAATAGGCGCGCCCCTCATGATGTATTTGAAGTGGTGCCGGATCTGAGGGCGAGGGACACTTTCGACGCAGAAATCCCAGACGAAAGTCCGCATGGCAGAAATGAAAGCGACAATAGCAGCCCCGGAGCAGCAGGTGGACAGACCGAACATGCCCAAGCGGTTGCTGGTGTGGAAGCAGCAATGAAAACGTTGCCTCCCGTAGCAAAAACATCAGCACAACAATACGTGTTCAGTACCTGGGAGAAGTTTGGTTGGCTTTCCAGTATATTTCTCGTCGGAGGCCTTGTTGTTTTACTTGCAGCCATTGGATTTCTCGCTTTCCTCTGGTTTGGAAACTGGTCAAATCATACCTGGAACAATATCGCCACTCAAAATTGGTTTACAAGAGCTGTATCTCTGTCAGCGCTTGCTGTAAGAAATGCAGTATCACTACAAGCAGGAGTTGCCACTTCCATGCTAGCGAGTGTAGCCTTAGAGCAGATGGAGGTTCACATTCTTTCCGCGGCATCAATCTCAGGCATGCGAAATGCGACTTCTGGGCCCTACTTCTTCACTTGGTCAATGTTGACTGCTGCCTGGAAAAGAGGAAACTTTCGACAACGGATGCTCCTCCCTATTCTTGCAGTTGTTCTGACAATCACAACTGTTCTTGTGCAGTTTACATCAACGACACTGCTAGCTGATCTGAGCTCTAGTCTAATCCCAAGCTCCAGCAGGAATTACACCGCAGCGACCAATTTCGTCTATATAAATGGTACCGATGGCTTCCGGTATATCCCTGTTGTGCCTCGAGGAACGAGTTGGAAAATAAAGGCACCTTTCTATCCAGCATTTGCCGAATACCACGAGGATGTTGCTGACAGTACTCAACAAGACGGTATATCAGACACAGGGTTCACTCTCAGAGCTTTTCTTCCATTGCAGGATCAGCAAGCTCGGTCCAACATCAGGTCTTACAATGGGATTGCAACCGTCCTTGATTCCCGGGTTGTTTGCATGCCGCCAAACATGACAAATCATTCACTCCATCTCATCAAGGACACAATGGCTTTAGGTGGTCAAGTAACTGCAGCATCGAATACCACGAACCTCTTCTTCGAGTCTGGAAATGGAGCTGAATCCAATCAAACTTGGGAAAACAGGACGCCTGCTCAATTCAAATGCGTACTGCCTCTGGCGTTATCACCAACTTCACTGCAAGACTGGCGTCTCTCGATCTGCCAGCCAACTACAACAACTGGATACCTGGCAAATGCGTTCAATTCAACGAGTTTCTTCAACTCTTGGTCTATGTATATCGTGGTGAACATCTCAAAGGGCGGCCTTATTGACTGGTTGAGCGGAGTAACACCAGAATCTGGCGACCAGCATAGTGATCTCTTCGGGCCCGGAAATCGACCCCTATTTTTCAGCAACCACAACGAGTGGCAAGACCTCTTATTCACTTCCAATGGTTCTCTCAGACTGAGTACAACGCTTTGTTTCACTGCATTCGAGACCGCTGACTTGGCTATCGAGGCCATTGGAAACGAAAATCGAACTGAGCCCATCCCTGAATACGACTCTGAAAAGCAAGTTTACCAGTATGGTCGGATTCGCAAACAACTCGGGCAGCCAGCTAATCTAGCCCCCTTATTCTCGGAAAGTGATTCGGAGAGAGGGATTTTGCAATTGAAAAAACGAGGCTCTTGGCTCCCCGGACCAGGTGATTATCATTTTGATGGAATAGCTAGTGAACGAACTTCTTTTGCGCTAGATTTTGCCAACATGTTTGGCCCTGTTCAAGGTGTCGAACAGCCTGTGATTGGAGGGATTGACTCCCCGTGCACAGCTATTATATATGGCGGGCAACGCGATTCCGGGTCGTGGACAGGCCTGACCTCCTTTCGAGCTGATCCATCCCTCACAGCACTCGTGCAAGAAATTCTGCAGCAAGGTGGAAGTATAGCTTTTGCCCTGCAGAGCATTCTCACCACCTTGGCTGGCATTGCGTATTATGACCAGCTACAACAGTTCAATGGAGTCGGAGCAGTGGTCCAGTCTGATTTCGTTCTTGTCACTGTCCCACATTCTTACAGAGGTTTTATTGCTGTTGTATCGGCAGTTGAACACAACTCTTTTTTTTCTTCGTCCCAAGGTCGGTTAGTAAGCTCGCCGCTTCTACTCGGGCGCTAATCACCCTTGGCTCACCCTCTCTTCACCTAGCTCACCTGAGCTGCCTGAGCAACCTAAACTGTCCCTGAGCAGTACCTACTACGCACTCATGCATCTGTTCTCCTATTAGGCTAGATGCAGACTAGGACATTTTATCTCATCTTTGTCAAGTTTTGGCGATGATCCCTGGGGAGCCCAAACAGGCTCCTAAGGATCCCGAACTAGACCCTTATAAAAATGGATTCATGGTCATTCATTGGTAATCGCCCGGCGGTGGAGCATAAAGATCTTATTCAAGGAGAGAGATTTGCCGTCCAAACCCACCGTCTAAATCTAACCACATTTGGCGATTTTATAGGATTCTGCCTGTCATTAATATCATATGACTAGAAATAATTAAGATACAAAATATTAGAATAAAGAGTATATAGTCGAGACGAGATTACGTGCGATAAGTTTTAGCGGTCGTAGATAATTATTTAATACATAGGTATATAAGTTAGAGTCAGAGTTTTTAGAGTATAATGTACTTTATGTGACGAACCTTGTTGGAACTGAGTGTACGCTGGTACACTGTAGTTTATATACCGGATGTATATATAGAGTGCTTACCCCGCGTGAGCTGAAAAATTAAGCCGTCAACCTCCAAAACATTGCAACAAACCTGATAGAAATCCCCAGTCACATGCTTAGCACAGGCTTACTAGTTACCTGACATATACTATTATATATATTCAAGACAACCTCTCTGTCTCTTCTCCTTCTTCTTCTTTTCTCCCTAGTTGCTCCTCTGCCTCGATCGCAGCCCTGACATCCGTGCTTATGGTTTCCATATACGTTTTCTGTGAAGGAAAATCCTCGAGTGTGCGAGCGAGCCGCTGGCTCGGGTCAGCTTCAGGGTCCAGCGGATCGTAATAACGAACCCAACGCAGGAAAAACCGGGGTTGAGTAACATTGAATAACTTCTTCCAAGCATTTACGGTGTCTGGAGGGAGAGAGTCACTCCCCCCTAGTATCTGGACTACGGCTTCTAGATGTTTTGTCCAGTACTTCGCGGCGTAGCCGAGAAAATGCGGTCTCGTGACGTCAGGTTCGTCCAATAGGGTCTTGAAACATGTGGATAGAATTCGCGTGTGGGCAAGTTGCTCGCTGAGGCCTAGGCGGGACGGTTCGTACAGGAGAAACTCTCGTACGGTTGGATGAGCCAGCTGCACTATCCCGTCCCTAACCTCTACCAAGCTGGAAACAGAAGCGACCAATCGGTCGGCTACGGCCTCGAGACGTTCCGGGACGAGATTTTCGCCCGAGTGTGAGTCTTGCGGGGCTAACGCCTCGATAAATTCTTCACAGCTGAGCGGCCGGAAGGTGAACGCAAGCCACGCGAAGATATTCTCTGCTTGATTTCGCTCGAGGTCTTCTATGCGATCCAAGGCGTGGTTATAGAGGGCGTCAAGGCTTCTCGGCGTGGAAGCTATTGCTTCTTCTAATTTATGGAAACTTGATCCACTCTGAAGCTCTTTTTCGATAACTTTCAATACAAGCTTGAGCCATAGAATGCTAACGAAGTCAGTCAATTAAATTGCTTCTTCTAGTGAAAATTCTTACCTTCCTTCTGCGGAGTATAACAATCGCTCCGTTATTCTATGCCTAATCTCATCCGGCATGTTTATATTCTTTAGCCGATTTGATATAAGAATTTCGAAGTCGAAGTTCGTGAAGTCGTCAATTCTTATCTGCGCATGAGGTTGGATGAACTCGAACATCGGGAAGGGACGGCTGGCGATCATAATGCGCCGCCTGTCGGCCTTCAGCGATTGAAAAAACGGAAGCGTTTGTTGCAGGTCGGAGCCGGGGATTCCGTCAAGGATGATATACACATCCTCAGCAGTGCGGTCCAAGGCCAGGCACAGTGTTGAAATTAGGGATTGCGTCGTGGGGGTTTCTTGTGGCGCCGAGATGGCGGCCAAGACAAAGCGAACATCATCTGGAATATCTTCCCTATCAGCCCAGAGTTGATGAAGAAGAGTCTGCAAACAGTCTGAGAACTGATTCGCCGATTTTGACGTGGTGAAATAATACAGAACGTGAGCTCCGTCCGCACTATTGTTCGGGTCGGAGAGATATCTGACTACGCGGGAACTATGTCACGATCAGCCGGGTGTGAGCAAGGTGCGGGACTCAAAGCATCTACCATAGCGCTGTCTTTCCACTTCCCCGCTCACCGAGAAGGAATAGCATCGGAAGCCCACCGTGCAGCCAACTGACAAATTGCTCCTGGTTGAATAGCCATTTGAACGATCCTTCGATATCGTTTTGCCTTGCCTGGATTGCCGCGGACTCGGATGTCTCCCTACCTATCGAAAGCCACCTAGGACGCTCAAACTCGGCAACCATTTCTCGAAGTGTTGAAGTCGCAGCGCTCGAAGCTGCCGGGTATGATAGGGCCAACCGGACGTGGGGAAGTAAAAGCCGCGCTTGCCACCATATCCTGGCATGGATCGCAGCCGAGAATGTGTTGCTGAGTACTTCTACCGCTTTCTGTTGCCAGTGCTCTTCTTGCCCTCCGTTGCGCAACCAGATTCTCATTGTGCGGTGGACCAGGCGATGGATGCTCCACATGTTCTCCTCGGGTGCCTGGGCAGGAGATGCTGCTTCGAAAATGAATGAATACTGGACAAGCAGTCCAACATCTTCAACTAGATCATTCTGGGTCCAGATGGCCGTCAGGAGGAACATCGGTATAGTTTCTCGATCGAGTACAGCAAGGTAGGAAATGACACCGGTCGTGGCGTGTCCATAGTGTACTATCTGGCCGAAGTTGAGTTGCCAAGTAATAATGACTGCATTCGTCAGATCATCCGGGTCCCTAACTGCGTCGGAGAAATCTCTTTGCAGAAGCCGCTCTTCCTCTGCCTCGGTCTTCTGGAACAGGGTCAGGTATCCCCCGATGCTCATCAAAGGCTTGAAAGAGCGGATGTATGCGACAGCCTGCATGATGGCCAGGGGAAGGAAGTCAAGGGCTTTGGCGAGATCTTCCACCTTTGAAACTGGGGTCGTGTCGTTCGGGAGGCTCGATTTGAACAGGTCAACGGCTTCAGTGGTTGACATGAGCGGGACGTGGATCACGCCCGAATCTTGGTTGACAAGCCGTTCAGCGATACCACGACTCCGCGTAGTCATTAGTACGCGACCTCTCGATTTGGGGATATACCAGATATATGGGTGTTTCTGCGACTCGTCTTTTTCAAATATCTCCGCGGTGTCTGCATTATCGAGGATAAGCAGCCAAGGGCCGCTCTGAGGATGTGATAACCAGTCGTTGATCAACTGGGGGACGTCCAAAATCTTGGTGTCGCCTACGGTGGAGGTGTTGAACTTTTCGAGTTTCTCGAGTGTTTCCTCTGGAATCCACCTCATGATGCTACGCAAGGAGTCGAGAAAGCGGGAGGAGCTGGCAGCGGAAACCCAATAAATAGACTGTCCGGGATCGTCATTCGCTGTCCGATAGAGAAATTCGATAGCGATTCGGGACTTTCTATTGCATGTCGTTAACCTTTCCAAGAATACAACTTGCAGTCTCCACAGTCGTAAGGAGAACTCACCCAACGCCACCAAGGCCCCACAGAGCGACGTGGTTTCCTGAGCCGAAGCCTCGTGAGATACTGTCATAGATGTTTTCTCGCGATACGAGAGACTTAGTGTCGCGATCGAAATCCACCATGAATATGGCAGCCCGCGCCTTGGAAGGCGCCTGAGAAGGCGCCTGGTACTCCTGAAACATCTGCCTCATTTCGTCTCTGGTGGCGATCTGGTTGAGTTGTTTATCTACCTGAATCAATGTATTCCTACAGAGCGTATCAGTGTTGCTCTCGCCGAGTATTTGTTCGTAACGTACAATACGCTGCCGATGGCCTGGCGGGACTCTTTTGCGAGGTCTCGCAGGTTCTTGACTGCTGCCCGATTCAAATAGCTGCATTGTTTCTCGCAATTATCTGCAGCAAGCGCAAGTTGGTCTCCGCTCTCCACTAGACGCTCTACATACTTCGACACATCGTCAAGCTTGAAGGGAGCATTTAACGCCTTGCTCCAACTCCGTTGGCGCTGGATTGCGAAGCCGAGAAAGAGCTGCGATTTGGCGTAGGCTCGGACTATAGATGTTTCTAGATCGACCAACGAGTCTTCTAGCGGCCGGAGGGTGAAATTAGGACCCATGTATAATTCCTGGTATATGCCGCACTGCAAGACTAGCGAGGTAACCTTGGCAATACCGCCGAGGAGTTGCGTTCTCAGCTCACTGCTGGCTGTCAAGATCTATAAAGATTAGCTAGACCCTCCAAGGTAGCTGCGCCCGATTTGTCCAGGCTGTAGGGTCTGAGAGCTGCTTACCTGGAGAACAAAGCGGACAGCAGCCCATGGCAGAGCAGCATGAACAGGATCGAATGTGACAGCAACATCGCCCACGGAAACAAACTTGTTCAGGATTGAGATAGTCTTTTCGACAAAGTGATGTGTTTTGCTGTTATTAGGTTGTCCCTTGATTTCCAGCTCCATTTCCTTCTTGATATCCTTGGCGAAGTCCTTTGGGCTAGGGCTGTTTTCCGCAGCGTTGCTGTTGGCTACCTTCACTGTGAATTCATTGACGACGGCCACGATATTGGGGTCTTCTTTAGACTTCTGCAGCTGGTCTATGGCCTTGTCCCACAGCTTACGATCACTGGAAGTTGTCTTCGCAGACGGTGGAACTTGGCTCGAATTTCCCGCTTCTTCTAAGGTATCTCCGCCGAGCGAGGGTGTTCCGGACGCGGCCGTCTTTGGAAGAGGCTCTGCAAGCGGACCCTGAGGCTGTGGATGGAGGATAGGGGCGTCGGTACTGCCTAGAGATGAGGCACCATGAGTTTGGTCGTAGGCTTCCTCGGACACGGGTAGAACAGTGGCATCGTCCTTCGGCGAAGAGGTTTTTTTGGCGGTAGAGTCTGTTCCGGCAACTGGAACAATTGGAGCACCTTCAGCGACCGCAATCTGTTGACCAGGTCGTGGTTCTGTATTCGAAGAAACTGGTGCGGATTGGGCATCCAGGATGTACGGTTCATCTTGTTTGGCGTTGTCTTTCGGACTCTCTAAACTCTTCGAGGCGGAATGCTTACTGCTGAAGAGAAATTTCAGTCGCGAGACCAGCTTTCCTCCAGCCATGGCGCCTTGGGTATGCTTAATGGGAGAGGTAGACACAGCGTTAGGTTACCTCTTCCTGGATAGCACCGGTGTCGCGACCTGGGCAGGATTTTCTCTAGTCACCCAGGCTGGCCGACGGAAGGCCTACTAAGGGCCGCAAGTTAGTTCGTTTTGTTATAAACAAGTCACAAGATTTGCTTCGGTCAAAGGGTCGAACCAACTACTTTTAGGCATCAGGTGTCTGAGCAGTGTGGGCTCCGATAAGCTCGATAAGCGACGATTAGATAATCGCGCTAATTTTTCGATAATCGATAATCGACCATCGATTACGATAATTATCGAACTAAGGCCTTGGCAATACTACAGGGCCACTACAGGGCCAATGCGCTATATTTATAGGCCTCATACCACCTTTTCTTTACTATAGCAGAATTCCGATTTAGTAAAGGCGGTATAAGGCCTATAAATATAGCGTATTGGCCCTGTAGTGGCCCTGTAGTGGCCCTGTAGTATTGCCAAGGCCCTGGGACCCACTATTATCGATGGAATTATCGATGGGCTCGCTTAATGGCTGGCTGGGCCCACTTTTATCAACAGAATTATTGATAAAAGCGGGCCCAGCCATTAAGCGAGCCCCATTGCATTAATAGTATTAGCAATAATTATATTATCTATATTATATAATAGACTATTAAATAGAATATAATAGTATAGTAATAATAGTCTACTTTTATACTAATCTTTATACTAATCGGTTTATAATTGAACTAGAAAGCGAGATGTTCATGTAATAGGGCTCGCTTAATAGCTGGGGCCCACTTTTATCAACGATAATTATCGATATCGATCGTTTATCGATCGATTAGCCGATAATGATTACTAATCGATAATCCCGATCGATAATTTATCGGAGCCCACACTGGTCTGAGGGCGGCTAAGAATAATTGGCTAGAGAATCTTTGCTTGATATTGCGAGCGGGGTACTTCACTACAAGATTGAGATAGGAACCTCTTTATTATAATAAAACATTGTTATTGTATTATAATAATAATATATTAATAGATCAAGAGGAAAGAGAGGTGTGGCACGAGTGGCCAAAGCTTAAATACAGGAATGTAGTCACGTGAGCCTGCACGTGACTACTAGTACATAGTTGCCATGTAATACTCTTATTCATTAGTAGCCTAGAGCATTTTCTAACCTATTACTTCCAAAGTTATTAATTATCTATAAAAAATAACTAAACTTAGTTACTTAATATTTTAAAAAATAGTACTAATTTAATTATATATTATATATATAATAAGTAGGATTATATATATAGTCTGCTATTAAAATATAGTCCCTTTCTCTAGAATCTACTATAAGGGCATAATCCTATTCTTATATATAAAGGTTTTTCCTGCTCTTTTTTCCTTTTCTTCTTTTTATCTTTTTAGTTTCTTTTATATTAGCTTTATAAAGCCTTCTTTATTATTTTAGAATATATTAATATTATTATATATTTTTATTTTAATATAAAAACTTATACTATTATAAATTAAAATTATTTAATAATTAATTATATAATAATAATTAATTTAAAAAACTTAAAACTTAAATTTTAACTTTATATAATTAAGCTTTAAAATATTATTTAAAAATTAAAAATTAAAATAAAAAAAGTTAATACTATTATATTAATATTTTAAGGATTTTAGTATTTCTTTAACTAGATTAGTTTTAGATTTTTCCGAGATTATATAGTTAAGAATTCCTTAATAGACTAATAGAATTATTCTTTTTAAATATAAATAAAATGTTTCTGATTTTTTATTATTTTACTAGTATATTAGTATATATTATATTTAGCTAGTTTTATTAATTTTCCGGTATTTTATAGTTTAGGTTATATATACCGGGATATATTCCGATTAGCTAACTTGGTACTCTTATAAAGAGCTCTTTTCTTAATAGAACTAGTATAAGGTATTTATTAATAAGTAATAAGATAATAGAATAAATTAGTATATTATAAAACTATAGTATTAAATTTAGTATAGAACTAATCTCTATTCTTCCTATAAGGTCCAGGAAAGCCCTTTCTAAATAGGAGACCCTAATAATATATATATAATTAGTAATTTATAAATATAATATATATAATATAAATAGTAATTAATTGAAATATTAAAAGGCTACTAAACTCTCTAATTAATACCCGTAATATTCGAGGTTTATTATATATTCTTAAGTTATATATAATCTTATATATATTATAATTATATTTCCTTTCTAGAATCTTATTCCTAAGATTTATTAATTTATTCTAGTAAATATTTAATTAATTATTTATTTAATTAATATAAACTTCTAGTATTTTAGGAAATAGTTTTACTAATATAATCTAGATAATAAATATAAAAATTATCTAATTAGATTAGGGCTAAATAAGTAAGAAAGAAAAGTAATTATATTCCAGATATAAAAGCTAGCTAGTAATTATAATTTTATTTAGGATCTAAGTATTCTAATTAGCTTAATCTAAAGTACTAAAGTATTATCTTATAAAATTAATATTACCTATTAGATCTTATATTAGAATAATCTAAATAGCTATATAGAAAGTATTTAATAAATATTTATATAAGAAACTTATATAAATATTTCTGAGATCCTAGAGATTATTTATAGGCTTCTAGAAGTATATATTAATTAGTTATATTAGTTTCTAATTAGAATTAGTATAAAAACTAGTAATTAATCTAGGTAATTCTCTATTTCTATAAAAGAATCTCTTTATATTACTATATATTCTTTTTCTTTTTAATAACTATATATATAACTTTTTTTATTATTACTTTCTAGCCTTTTTTTCTATCTTTCTCTAAGTCTTTTTTAATTATTTTTAATTAATTCTATAATATTTTCTTCTGGCTTTATTATTTATTCCTATAATAATAAGTATAAAGGTAATTTTATAGTTTTCTTTCTTATTACTAGTAAATACTTAAAATATTTCAAGTATTTATTTATTAATTTCTTTATCTTATATATTATAATATTTAGTAAGAAGAATTATAACTATTATAATAAGGGTTCTAAATCTTATATATTAATAAGTTCTTTAGCTTTAATATCTATTAAAGCTAATATAATTTCAGATTTCTTATTACTTATTAGAGACTTACTAGTTCTAGAAAAATACTATTATAATTTTTAAGAAATTTCTTGAAATATATCCTAAATAATATTATACTAATAAGAATAATACTATTAATTAGGTTTTTAAAGACTAGAAAAATACTAATAAGCTTTAAAATTCTTCTTTCTATTTTAATAAGGCAAATAATATTATTATTTAGGTTAGTATCCTAAAAGTAAGTTTTTTCTAATATATTTAGGTATTTACTAATTTCTTAAAAAAATACTATAATATTTATCTTTAAAATATTAATCTTATTACTAAGCTTATTACTAAAATTACTAAATAGTTTATTACTAGTATTTTAAATACTAATAATATAATACTTATAGCTATTTAAGACCTAATTTCAGAAGTTTGGGCCTTTTATAAAATATATATAGCTATTATAAGTTCCTTATTTACTTCTTTTAATATCCTTAATACTAATATTATTATAATATAACTATATCTTATTAAGAAATAAGTAAATTCCGGAAAGTATTAGCTAATTCTTTACTAAGTTCTAAATAGGACTAGTATTTAGTATTTTTATTTTAGGAATTAGGAATTTATAAGAATTAGAGTTTATTTATTTAAGATATTTATAGCTAGTTTATTTATAATAAATCTTTTTTAATTCTAAACCTTTTTCTAATAATTTAAATATAATTCTTATAAGCCTTAATAAAATCCTAGAAAACCTTTATAAATAAAAAACCCAGGAAAAAAATATTTTTATTATTATTCCGGGTCTTTTTTTAGCTATTTAGGTTCTTTTTTTCTTTTAAATAGCCTTTTTCTTAATAGTCCAGAATTCTTTTTAATTTTAAGAAATTATTAAAAAGTAGTTTTAGATTCTAAATTATAGTTTTAATTATATAATTTTAGAAATTTCTTAGAATTTTTAAGATTAGAAAAAGCAAGTAACTAGGTATTATAATCTTTAAGCCAGGCTTTTTATTTAATTAAATACTATTATTCTTTATTTTTATTATTTTATTAGTAATTAATAATAGCTTTTATTTTTTATTCTTATTTTTTATTATTATTTACTAATTTCGGAAGTTCTCTAGAAAAATATAAATATAGCTTCTAATTCTTTTTTATTATATATTTTTTAAAAAAGAAAATATAGAAAATTAAATATAAATAATTATATATATTTAATAATTCTAACTTATATACCAAATTACTGATATATTTAAGAATTCTAAATAAATTTATAAATTTTGGCTTAAGCTTTCCTATTTTAAGTTTAATATTTCTTATTAATAGTATTATCTAGATTTTTTTAAAGTAGTATTTAGCTAACTAGTACTTATTATAATAAGTTTCCCGGTTATTTTATATATAATATTATAAATTCTTAAGCTTTTTCTATTTTATTTTAAAGATTTCTAGCCTTTTATATATAGCTAGTATTTTTTTTATAATTCTATTTTCAGGATTTTATAGAAATTAAAAATAGTATTTATAATATATATAGAAAGATATATTTTATAAAACCTAATATTTTAAGTTATTATATATAAATTTTATAAAAGATAACTTTTTAAATTAGTTATTTTTTTAGATATTATAATAATATCTTAAATAGTATTTTAGGGCCTAGTTTTATTTTTCTATTTAATTATTTATTTAAGAATAATAAGCTATATTTAAATACTATTTATATATTAAATAAAAGTAAAAAGCAGACTAGACCTAGCTAGTAAATACTATTTCTCGGTCGGAAATAATTCTATTAAAAGAGCCAAAAATCGAGAAAATATATTTCTATATAATTTTAGTAAGCTTTAGAGAATTAATAATTTTATAATATATAATATATCTTATTATTTTAAAATACTAGTTAATAATTATAAGAATTATATTAAAATCGGGATCTTTTACTAGGTTCTTATATAATAGTAAACCTATAATAAAATCTATAGAGATCTTATTTCAAGGTCTTTTAGGCTATAATAAATTACTAAATAGACTATATAGTAAATGCCTCTTTATCTTAATTCTCTAGTAAATATTATATTTTTAATA